GTCATCTATATCATGTGCAGATAGAACATCCATCCAATCTAAGTTAGACCCGTCCTGTGACAGCTTTTGAAGGTTAATACGTGCAAAGTTTCGCATTTTTACCAGTTCTGGTGTACGTTTAGGAGGTTTGATTCTATAGGAGAGGTAAATAAGATCGTGTCGGGAAAAGCCCGGAGCTGGAATTTGACCATGATGGGAGACATTATCTGGAGAGGATACAAGCATGTGATCAATCCACGTGTCATTTGTGTCGATATTATGGTGTGTAGCATCAAGCTCAAGAAGAGAGAGATTATACGACTCGATGGTTGATCGAAATAAACGGGAGGTAAGATTGTCCTTCAAAAGATCAGTATTGAAATCACCCAGGATCATGTGATGTGCGTAATTAGCTGCAAACGTGTCAAACACGGAAATGAGAGTAGAAATATATTCGACAGCAGGTGGACAATATACGACTCCGAGAACTGCTTTGGAACCAGATAATGAAATCTCAAGAATGAGATATTCGATGTTACTTGCAAGCTGGTAAGAAGTGGCAAGGATTTGATATGGGATACCAGTTCGTAGATAGATGGCCACACCGCCACCTCGCTTCACCAATCTGTCATTTCGCACAAGATCGTAGCCGGGTAAGGCGTATGTAAAGGAATTGTGGCATGGTTTAAACCAGGTTTCCGAAATGAGTATCGCGTGAGTGACATCAGCAGTGAAACCATTAAGTAGCTCCGTATAATGCCTCGGTATGCTTTGTGCGTTAACATGACAAACGTTGAAAGTTCCGGTCACGGTAGAAAAGGCTTTAGAAATCTGATCGCCCAACACCTCTGTGTCAGCCCGCATACTATCCAAAGAGTGAAACGAAGAATCAGAACTGCCGCATGACTGAAAATCTAATTCCTCTGAATCCGACATAAACTTATAATAATAAATATCAATATATATATTTAGATATACCCTAAAATAAACAATATGAATAGGTTAATTAATTATTGAAAAAAAAGAAAAAATAAAAAGTATTTTAAATAAGAAGGTGTCCAACCCGCCGGTCAACTGTCACAATATAAAGTAAAAATACACAATATAGTGAAAATCTAATTTCGAATGACGAAGTAAATATTCAAATTTATAGATAAAAGCAATTATAATTAAAAACGAGCTATCATACAGAAAAGCGGCGATCACTGACAGTGTTGGACCAATATCGTTAAAATATACCCATAATTCAGCAAGAGTCTTCAAAGAAGTGTACAAAAAAAAGAAGAAAAAAAAAAAAAAAGAATTTATGGCTGCAAGAGTTTAATCCTTTTGACTTGAGTAAACAAAAAAAATAGAAGCAATATTGTCAATGTCAACACTGTCATTATCTACGCCCCTCTAGTTTGTAAACAAAAAATAATTTTTAATTGACTAAATGCATGTGTGAATCATAAGAATTTTAACATTTACCATAGTGCATATGAAGTATTACCCGGCTAAATTTAGAGTTTAAACATGAAAAATTGTAAATTAAATAATTTAAAGGATTTCACTTCTTTACCGGGCGCCTCGACCTAGCATTAGATGACTTAACAGAAGCATCGCCACCGAACTTGGAACCGGCCACCGTTGTCGCCACAGCATGTACTGTTGGGTTCTGTTCCACCACTTTGGCCAATTCCTGCTCGTCCTTAACCCGACAAAGTTTGCCAGTCGACAACTTTATGACAACGTTACCGTTACTTGTCCACACGTTACGGATGCCAAAGTGCTTACGTGCCGCTGCAAATGCCTCCTGACGACGTCGAGTCAAGAACTCTGACACAACTATGCTTGTACCCTTCAGTTTAGTTTTGTTGGTCCAGATAGCAGATTTAGTGGCCAGCTGGTCAAAATATATGAGAACAGGTCGCGGACGCTCCTGAATCCTTACCCCAAGCCTATGGCAGGCTGTAAAACTTGACTTCTTGATGTTATTAAGACCCAGCTTGTTGTGACAGATATCAATGACAGTTTCCTGCAAGTCTTTACTATCACTCTCTTCTATCCCACCAATGAGAAGGGCTTTATTGCGATGTCTTGCTTCAATGTCATCAATTTTGCTGACCAAGAAATGAATTTGTTGACGGAGTAATGCTAAAATACCTCCAACCATGTCCTTAAACTGACAATAGTCAGCACTCAAAGCTTTAAGTTCGACTGCTGGAGAAGAAGACACAGAAGAGATCTTTAAGTGAGCCTCGAAGTCGGACATCCGCTGCATGAGTGTCTCCTCAATGACTTTTTGAGTCTCAATAACTGCAGCAATATTAGCCATAATTAACAGGCAGTCTATAGTGCAAATGATAGACAGTGAATTCCAGTATTGTGCTTTTGTGTGTTGTTGAAAGTAGTGACAGTTGAACACAGACGGGCTGGTGTACTCAAGCTTCTTCTACAGGCATAAAAGAATGATGCCCACACAGTATGTTATAAAATGTACTATAACACTACTTTTCCACTTAAGACTTTGTAATTATTTATGTTAAAAAAATATTTTAAAAAATTATTTTTTTAGAAGAAGACTTTACTTTTCAACACCTACCGCCAAAAAAAAAAAAAAAAAAAATGTAAAAATATTATTTTACATTTTTCTTTATTCTATTCAAAATTATATCTGATTACTTTATATTTTTATATACCTATTTGGTTTACATTTTTTATTTTTAACTTACATATATATATTGTTCTTTTACAGGTTACTTCTTATTTCTAATATCACAAATTTTCTTTGCTGTTTGTGTTCCATCTATTCATTTAATCTTTATTTCTTTTCACTATCTTCTCTATTATCTTACAAGCATACTTTACAAATATGTCTCTTTCTTTTATATTTTCCATTATCTTTTCCAGGTTTGGTCTACTAAGTTGTGTATCTATGTGTGATTGTAGAGTGTGCCTATCTACGTTTAAAATTGGGCATTCCAGAAAAGACTAAATATAAAAAGAAATTCAATCAAATTGAATTATAGAGGTCACTAGTTTTTAATAGAATGATTAAGGATAACTGCTTTTAAATTCAGTTGCAACTTTTGATGAGCTATATTGCGATAAAATTAAAACACTGATCTTCCGAAAGGAATCTGTTTCCATCACGTGAATATATCACGTCATCTTGAAACAAAATTGAGAATTTGCATTAGAGAATAATTTTATACACCCATAATTTTAACTAGTATAATTTTTAGATCTTCTTATATAAATGATAAAAAGAGGAAATTATAATAGACAGCGAACGATTATTTTCTCGATTTTATATAGGTATATTAAAGAAATTTTCAAAGTAACAGTATTTTACTAATTGATTTTTGTTCATTATTCATCACAAGGGGTAAAATTTTTCGACAGCTGGTATTACAGTATCGATTACCCATTTTTTCGTTCATTCTGTTGTTCGCACATACTCTGTCTTTGTCTAATTTAAAGTTTAATCGTAGTTATGAGGGAGACAAACATACTAAATCTATTATATGTAACTTACCCAAAATTGAGCTTTATCGCGTTTGTAAAAGAGTAAAATTCGCTTTGACTTTGTAGCGTTGTAAAATTAATTAATTACCAAAAATAGACAGTTTTGATATCGGTTATTGGCGATCCTGATAACAGTTACGTTACGTGATTTAACAAATGGATAACGACTCATTGATAGTAGTTTGCTCCATGGTACAGGCGAAGGAACTAACCTATACAGCCAAATCTTCGGTACAATAAGTTGTTGGTCTGTAAAAGCTATCAAAGAGAACTGTCTATTAGTGATGTGTAATATCTTCAATTAAGCAATTGAACCACAGTGGTATGATTTGAGTATCAAACAATAAATTTATCAATCAGTACATAAGTATTAATACTTTATTTAAACAATTATATCCGTAACAAGGAGAAAAGGCGTCCAAAAAATGTAAGATGTGAGACTTCTCTTTAGTCAAGTTTTTCAAGCACTTGTTACTTAAAATATCCACCAGCTGTAGCAATCCGGGCGACTGCTTTAACCACTGAGTTACTCGAGACCAAAAAAACAGACGAATTTTTCAAGCACTATTTGGATCAGGCAAACTACCCAAACATTATTCATTAAAAATATTTATAAGTATAACATTGTGATTGCAAAAGTGATTATTGTATTTCTGTATAATGTCATCTTAAAATTTAAACTCTTTAATATAAAGTTAAAAATCACAATGGAAAACTGACATTACAACTTAAGGTGACACAAATGTTAGCGATGTAATTTATTTTAATTAGTGATGTGCCAACTCGGAAAAAACAAAACTCGATTTAACCTGAGTTAAAATCAACATAGCTCGAGTGGAACTCGAATTACATAACTCGAGTTAACTAGATGGACAAGCAGTGGCGTAACTATAGCGTTTGAGGCCTGTGGCAAATTCATCGGATATTCATTTTATTTACTAATTGAGTAATAATAAATGTCAGGAGTTAGGAGTCTCCTCTGACCGGGAGTAATCTGAACTGAATCTGAACATTGTTAACACGCAACACACTCACGCAATGACGATTCGAATACATCCCAAAATAAAGATTTTCTTTTTCTCCCGGCATTTTTTAAAAACAGAAGATAATACACCAAAGTCTACAACAATAACAGGCAGTTTAAAATTAACCTCAAATCTACATAATATATTATTATGTGACACTTGTTTGTGATGAATAAATGAATGAACATCACAGTCTTACTCAAATGATTGGCAAACTTCGCTCCATGTCGGTTCCATTCGGTTTACGTACTCGAGTTTGAGAGAATTCAACTCGAGTGGGTTCGAGTTACGCTCAACTCGAATTAACTCGAGTTAGTCACTCGAGTTGACCATCACTAATTTTAATCATTTGTCTCATCACTAACTGTGATCGTGAAATCGTATTGTGTTTTGTTCGTGATGTTTGGCGCTATTTTATTTTATTTAACTTAATGGTGGCTTTATAGCTATTTTGTTGTTTATACAATCAGTGCTACGTGATTACAGATGAAGATGCCGGCATTTCTGAAGTATATTGATATGGAAAACTTTAAATCGTACCGGGGACATCATCGAATAGGTCCCCTGAAGTCCTTCACAGCTGTCGTTGGCCCCAATGGTTCAGGTAAGAGCTAGTTTCTGTACGTCAGTGAAGAATCTGTGAGTGTGCTTTATTTCCTCAATTAAGTTTGAAGTTTACTCTGAATCAACAAAACCCTTGGCAGTACAAATTTAAATAATAATGTCAGTTCAACATGCTTCTGTTTTAATGTAAACAGTTTAGTAACAATAAAGTATTCTTAGGCTTTCAGTTGCTTAATGAATAGAATACAACATCAAAACCAAGTATTTTCTGTTGATGCATGTTTATAGAAAATTTTATTAAAAATGGTTATTAAATTTTGATGGTTTTAACTTGCGGGCTAGGCAGAGAAGACCGAATGCCACAAAACTATGTTCCTTATACTTCTGACATCACCTTCCATCAGCATGCAATTGATTGGATTGTGAAAGGCGCATCATGTCCTTCATCAGCTTCTGCATCCTTCTTCATTTGTGTTGTATATCAGTTATCTCATTCTTTCATTGGGCATTCTTTATACATGTCAAATTTGTCATACTTATTTTATAGCTGTAACTTAGATGGACCTTTCCTTTATACATATATTGCCCACATGCACAAACATCCATTAAAATTTATTGATACTTTGAGCTCTAATGAATGTTCTAAATGATATGTCCAGAATTTGTGAACTAGAGCAGTGACCAAAAAAATTATATTATAATATATAATAAAATAATATATAATAATATATTATATAATATATAATATTAAAATTATTATATAATATATAATAATTTTATTAATGAAGTCAGGACTTCAGAGATGGCTACACCGTGAAACCGGCATATGAACCACTCTGTTATGATTTTTAAACAAGTATGTTAAATTAATGACATTTTTAAATGACGTTTGTGTAATGAGCAGCATATCTTTTTATTTTGTAGCAACATCATTAGATGGCACTGTTCTTGTCTGATTGTTATCTTTTAATGATATACATGAGTATGGTGGACAGAACATGGGTTGATTTTACTGAAATAGGAGTAAATACACATACAGAATAGAATGCCCCATTTGGAATTATAATGTAATTGTCCTTTACAGGAAAATCAAACTTCATGGATGCAGTGAGTTTTGTAATGGGTGAAAAGACATCTCTGCTACGTGTTAAGAGACTAAGCGACCTCATTCATGGGGCATCTATAAACAAACCAGTGTCACGCAAGTATGTAAATATGTTTAATTAGCTTTTATGTGAGGTTTTGCATATGTAGTCAGAGGGAAACAAGTTGTAAACAGGGATCAATAAGTAACAGTTACACAGTTAGAATGATGATGATGATTGTTTGTATATAGATAAATCAGTATTACGTATTACGTTTCTGTCCTTTAATTTCAGTTAGCCAAATTTTTAATACATTTTAAAATATTTTTATAATACATATAATAATGATAAATCTATAAAATTATTATTAATTTGTATTTATTAATATATTATTTTTAATTTGTATTTATTGTTTCAGTGCCTCAGTTACTGCAACATTTATATTGGAAGATATGACAGAGAAGCAGTTTCAAAGATCTGTTGTAGGCCAGTCTTCTGAACATAGGATTGATGGACAGGTTTGGTTCTTCATATTTACGCAAGTTGTAGTGCATATAAGATATATATGCACTACAACTTGCCACAAAATGTAACTATCCAAATTACCATAAATGGAAACATGCAAAACTACAAAAAAAAAATAATACAATAATTTAACCATTACTGGCAAATGGACAAAGTGCAATAATATGTATCCACAGGTACCTATATTTATATACCCACATGGTCATCAGCCCTTTTACGTCCCCACTGCAGGGACTCAGGCCTTCCTTATGGATGGTTAAGGAGGATGGGCCCTCCACGCTGGCCCAATGCGGATTGGAGGGTATTAACGACTGCAAATGCAGTCGGGACCAACGGCTTAACGTGCCTTCCGAAGCACGGAGTAACTCGAGATAATAATTTTTTGGTCACCCATCCCGTGACCGACCCTTGCGAAAGTTGCTTAACGACTACGAGCGCGGGCCGCGGCGCTTATCCACTACGCCACCGAGCTACTCACATAGTAATCAAAAATAATCAAAAGGCCAAACTAATTATTAAGATTTATAATTTAAGTGGTTAGCGCGTTTGATCGGATGGGTAGCGAAATTATTTTTGGACGACTGACTGAGAACAATCACGCGAACCTGTTATCCAGTAAACCTCCGGTCCAGTAGCTGGTATATTATGGTTCCATCTAATAATAATACCTGTGCTTTAGCACCACCAATTCACATTGGGATCCACATGCGGGCCCAGATAGGAATGCTTGGAGGATTGGTTTCATCCATTAAGAATATTTTGTGCTTAAGCACCATGCTTATTGGGACTTTCACGCGGGCCCAGTTAAAAATACTGGGAGGTTGTATACAAATAAACACATAAATTTGTGTTTTCTAATGCTCATGTATTAATGCCAATGGACTACATATTTGTTTCCAATACTGTGCACATATTTATATGCATTTAAAAGAATACAATTTTATGGGTTTTTTATGAATAATACTTACTTTCAAAATAGTTATATCTATATCTCTGAACTTGACTGTACATGATGGTTGGTATGATAGGAAAGAAAAAACAAAACATATATTGATGGAATAATAAAAAGTTGATTTTGAATATTTTATTCTTTTATCAATTTTTTTTTGTGAGATCTGAAGAGGAGTATATGTAGTGTTAAGTTCATAATAAAATAGGCATATGCTTGTAGCAAAGCATTATAAATCTTGCAAAAATATTGTTTACTCAGTTGTTTAGCTTTAAATTTTGTGAATAATTATTAGGTTTAATCAAAGTCAGTTGTCAAAAAATAATGCCCTATTGTTAACAATGAAAGAACATAATTAACACCATTCATGTTTTCCAACTTAAGTCAATCTGTAAGAATCACACCCTCTTGTCTGCAACACGGTAATCAAGGTTTTCTTTCTAACACAAAAAAAATGTGTATGAAATAACTTTTCCATTACTTATAATAATCCAGTTCATCTCTTTCAGTCTGTATCAATAAGCAATTACTTAGCGGAGTTGGAGAAACTCGGAATCAACGTGAAAGCGAAGAACTTTCTTGTGTTCCAAGGGGCCGTTGAAAGTATCGCCATGAAGAATCCAAAAGAGAGGACTGCTCTCTTCGAGGAAATCAGTGGGTAGGTGATCATGTGAAACAAAATATTAACTTGACTTTTAAAAAGTTCCGTGACTATCATTGCAGATTGATGTAAAGCAGTAGTGTGATGTATAATTGTGTTCAGCTCGGGCGTGCTGAAAGAACAATATGAAGCAGCACGTGCAGAGGTGAACCGTGCCGACGAAGAAGCCCAGTTCTCGTACCAGAAGAAGAGGGGTGTCGCTGCAGAACGCAAAGAAGCCAAGTTCGAGAAGGAGGAAGCAGAGAAATACACTCGTTTAAAGCAGGAGCTGGTGAGGTCGATACTTATAAATAATTACCATTAAAATTATATAGAATGTTAACGAAAACTCTTCTCACAACAGCAAGACCAAAAAGTGGAACTGCAACTGTTCCACCTGTACCATAACGAGAAAGAAATACAAAATTGCGAGGAGGAGCTGCAGCACAAGCAGACGGAATTGATAAAGGTAGAGAAGAAGAGACAGAAAGCGGAAGAGGCGTTGAAGGAGAAGAAAAAGGAGGCGGGAACCGTTCAGCGGGAGCTCGCGAAGATCGAGCAAGAGATCAGGGAAGTGGTGAGTTAGATCGTTTATTAATTTTCAGTCGCGATTTCCTAGTCATGGATCGACCAGAACTAAGTGTTATATTCGGTGAGCTACCGGGTCGACGTTTTTACTGATCGAGGATGTCACTTTTCAATTAGGAAGCGGAGATATCGAAAAAGCGACCCACGTTCATCAAGGCGAAGGAGCGCGTCACTCACACACAGAAGAAGCTGGAGAGTGCCGTGAAGACGTTGGAGCAGGCGCGGAAGGCGCACGAAGCGCATCAGGCAGATATCCGCAAGCTGGAGGAGGAGCTGCGCCAGGTGGAGGAGCAGAAGGCCGCCTGGGAGCGGACGGCCGTGGGGGCCGCCAGCGCGGGCAGGGCCGACGTGCATCTGGAGGAGGCGCAGGTACAACATTGACACCAAGAAAGCTAAGCCACTGTTGTAGCTAATTTCATTTTCATTCTCAATTTTCTGTGAAAAGTTGTAGAAAAATGCCTTTCTGCGTGTTTAAACAATGAGAAAAGCTAAAAAAATATCATTTCATGCGTAAGTACCATACTCACTCTTTTTTATTTTAATAAAAACAAAGAAACATCATTGAATGCTGCCATTTTTTCGGGCATCGGGTTCTACGACTGGTGGAGACTAAATTTGACACATAAAGCTAAGAAAGTATGTTTATCTTGTTCTAACACGAGGTATGCTGTATGATTGTAATAGGGAGATTGACTGTTTTTGATTTCTTCGCGCTCTCTGTGGTTGTATTGTAATGAAACTTTACCATAAAGTTTACGCCACCATAACTCAATAAAGCACCGGTATGACGTGTCTAATATTAAAACCATCGGGTTTCAGTAGATCGTTTCTATGAAAAAATATCAATCAAAGAGCTGGATCTGCAATAAGTGAGTGACTCCGTTAAAAGATGGTATCGTGTTCGAGATTCAGTTTAATTTTTTGAATATTTTTCAATAATATACATATGAGTAGGTGAACCATCGTATGTGACGTGTGCAGATACGCGAATACGAAGAGTTGAAAATGGAAGCGTCTCGTCAGGCGGCGAGATATCTGCAAGAGCTGGACTCGGTGAACAGGGAACAGAAGGCGGACCAGGACCGGCTCGACAACGAGATGCGGCGCAAAGGCGAGCTCGAGAACAAACATCGACAGAAGGTGAGATAACCACTGCGTTACTTTTTTTTTATTTACAATAGTTTAACACTTAGTCGATAGAAAAATGTGGAGATTCTACAATTTTATGATGTCCGGAAAGGGGAGTAGTCGTAATTGTAATAATTCTGTTCAGGGCCACGAGCGCAACGAGGCGATGAAACGAGTAGAGAAACTGAACGAGCACATCAAGAGCTCCGAGCAGGCGCTCGAGGAGCAACGCCGGCTGCGGGCCGAGTTGCAGGTGAAGTAACTCGTCGTCAGTGATGCTCGCACCTTGTATGGCTATAGAAAGAATAGTGTGGATAAGACACAAGTGTACGTGTACAGGCGGACGTGGGCGAGTGCCGCGGGCGGGCCGCGTCGCTGCAGACGCAGCTGGAGGAGGTGGCGGCGCAGCTGGGGGACGCGCGCGTGGACAAGCACGAGGAGGCGCGCCGCCGCAAGAAGCAGGAGATCGTCGAGAGCTTCAAGCGGGACATACCCGGCGTGGTGAGTGCATGCGTTCTTGGCCGAACTTGATCGTTTCAGCCGCGAGGAAAAAAATTTCGCTAAAAAATAACCAGTGACCCAAACAAGACAACCGTTAGAAAAGAGAACCCGAATCCCAGTTATTGATTTACAAATAATTGTTCTTAGTCTGGGTGTACTTTGTCCCTCGCAACACAGGAGTTGTATCCTAAAAAGCCGTATTTTAGAAAATTGATTGTTTTTTAAAAGACGGCTTTTCAGGATTTTTAGGCTTATTTGTATTTGAAATAAAGAAAAAAAAATGAACTAAAAAACTGAAGATTCATGAATAAAACTTTCTTTGAATTGTCAAAGCATCACGCACTTTTTTAAAGGGTCGTAATAACAATATTGAACTTAATATATCTGGACCTGAAAAGCATTAGGTCGGATGTGCAGAACCAGCTAAAATCACTTATCGCCATAACGTTGCTACACTCTTTTTTCTCTTTCCGGCAAATTAACTCTTGTATGTTTGTGCCTTTTTACTCATGAGCAACAGTCATGCATAAAGTCGGATCAGACGACTTTTTCAAATATTTTGATTGCATTTAGCTATTTCTGTTTTTATACAGTTTTTATACATCCGACCTAATGCTTTTCAGGTCCAGATATATGTAATAGAAATCATTCTTGCTGATAAAATACGGAGAATCCCCTTATCGATAATGTTGCTATTCGCCACAAAATAAAAATTAAAGAAAAAGTATTCTCCGAATTCGTCACAGAATAAGTAATGAAAAATTCCGTACTCTTTTCATTCGATCCGAATTTATAGTTTAGACGTGGAACAAGCTATTGATCGTGTCTGGGATAAGGGCCTACTTTGTGAAGCTTAGGATAAACTTCCCCGTTCATTCTTTCTTTCCAATAATTACATAGTGTCTATCCGAAAGACAATTCCAAGTTAAACATGGAGAAGCAAGGTCATAGCTATACAACATCGAAGCGGAAGTCCCGCAGGAATTAGTTTTGGGACCTGTCCTATATAACATATTTACGCCCGATCTCCCCACCTCCTCTGATGTAACAGTCGCGACTTATGTCGACGATGTTGCTTATCTAACATACCAATTAAATGCACTTGTATCCAACACTCACTGTACTAAAAGAAATTCAAAAAGAAACGTTAATTTCAAAGACTGACTACTCACCCAAACCCATTCGCTACAGAGTTTGAATAATGTGGATTTAGTGAACCGGTTTAAGAGAAGCAATATAATATAGTGGGGCAGCCGGGGTGATGGCCTCAGTTCTCTAAACGCTTTTCTTTACCTTCAAATAAATTGTTAATATTTCTGGCGGCTGGGCTGATTTTGTATTTAATATGCAGTGAACTAAGATTGTATTTAATATACAGTGAAGAAATCGATTGAATAAAGTGTACGATTATTTATGTCGGCAGTACGACCGCATGATCAACATGTGCCAGCCGACCCACAAGCGGTACAACGTGGCCATCACCAAGGTCCTCGGCAAGTACATGGAGGCGATCGTGGTGGACACGGAGAAGACCGCGCGCCGCTGCATCCAGGTGCTGAAGGAGCGCATGCTGGAGCCCGAGACCTTCCTGCCGCTCGACTACATACAGGCGAAACCGCTGCGGGAGAGACTCAGGTGCGCACACGTAGTCAGCGAGTCGGCAAGTCGGCTCAATACAATAACACAACCTGGAACGGTCGGTAATGAGCGTACGACGGGCCGTGCAGGGACATCAAGGAGCCGCGCAACGTGAAGCTGCTGTTCGACGTGCTGCGGTTCGAGCCGCCCGCCATCCACCGCGCCGTGCTGTTCGTCACCAACAACGCGCTCGTCTGCGAGACGCCCGAGGACGCCTCGCGCGTCGCGTACGACCTCGACCGCAACAAGAACAGCCGATACGACGTGAGACCGCCTACATACCCGCCTACACTCCCGCCCACACACACTCCCGCCTGTACTCCCACCTACACTCTCGCCTACACTCCCTCCTACACACCCGCCTACACACCCGCGTTACACACCCGCGTTACACTCCCGCCTACACACCCGCCTACACTCTCACCTACACCCACGACTGTACTCCCGCCTACACTCCCGCCTGTACTCTAGACTACACTCCCACCTACACCCACGACTGTACTCCCGCCTACACTCCCGCCTGTACTCTAGCCTACACTCCCGCCTGTACTCTAGCCTACACTCCCGCCTGTACTCTAGCCTACACTCCCGCCTGTACTCTAGCCTACACTCCCGCCTACACTCCCGCATACACTCCCGTCATATTCCCGCTTACACTCCGGCCGGCAGACCTTTGATTTTTATTTTTATTGAATCCGATGTTAACCGAATCGAAATCAATCGTGTTATACGGGAGGCTTATAGGTACAAAATGGCTTTAACGAAACAAAGAAACATCTAAATATATATAACTCAAAGGTGACTGACTGACATGGTGATCTATCAACGCACAGCCCAAACCGCTGGACGGATCGGGCTGAAATTTGGCATGCAGGTAGATGTTATGGCGTAGGCATCCGCCAAGAAAGGATTTTGATCAATTCTAACCCCAAAGGGATAAAATAGGAAATGAAAGTTTGTATGAAACTGACAATTTTAAACCGATCGAACTGAAACTGCATGCGTAAAGCATAAATGGGGATGAAACTTTATTACAGGTATTTTACATGATATAAAGAATAAATATTCGTTAGAAAAGCTGCTCAAAGCAACTTCACCACGCGGACGAAGTCGCGGGCTAAAGCTAGTTTAAAATAAATCTAATAAAATTAGCATTTGTTTTGTAATTTATTTTTAATAAAAAAAGAACTCAACGAAGCAACAGCCTTAAATGCGTCGGTTTCGAGATAATCCACGTAAATGCGCCTTCGAAAATTGTTTTTATAATAAAAGAGTTAATGCATGATTTCACCGGTAGCCAAATCATTTAATATAGAATAAGATCTGATGTTTATATTTATTTTTCAGGCCTTGGCGCTGGACGGCACGTTCTATCAGAAGTCTGGTATTATATCTGGTGGTTCCCTAGATCTGGCTCGTAAAGCCAAGCGATGGGACGAGAAACACCTCTCCCAACTGAAAGCTAAGAAGGTAATTTATGGTTTTAAACAAGGAAATTTTAGAACCAATGTTATTTTCTACATTCTATTCAAAAAAGCAATACGCAATGATCCTACTGATCATTGACAGCTTCCAAAGATCAAAGTCAATATTAAAAGTATGTCGAAAGCTGACATTGACTGATCCGCAATATGACGTTTGCAGGAGAAGTTAACGGAGGAGTTGCGCGAGTCGATGAAGAAGTCCCGCAAGGAGTCGGAGCTGACCACCGTGGACTCGCAGATACGCGGCCTCGAGTCGCGGCTCAAGTACGCCGTCACAGACAGAGATACCACGGTACACATACCTAACTAGTTCAACGAGATAACAGTGTTGAGTGATTCACGAAAAAAGTTTCGATATTTTACTTCGATATTTCGAAATTATTACAGTTAGAAAATTATTTCATAAATTGTCTAAATGTTTATTTTCTTATAGCTGAAGCAAATCAAAGCATTAGACGCAGAGCTCGCTGAACTCGAGAGGAAGATCGAAATGTTTGGAGTAAGTATTATATACATACGGTCGTGTTATACTAATAATATATAATACATAAAGAATTCTCAATGATTCACTATTTTAAAATATTGTTGTTTTATTATCAGTGGTCGGAATTAGGTAGAGTTATTCATGTACTTACACTGATTTCATACAGCGAAAGAATAAAGTGGATTTGCCTCAAATCCCGAGATTAATTTTAAAGTGCAGAAAAAATTCTGTGATTTTTTAAATAAAAAGTTATCTACTTTTACACAATTTAAACTACTGCACGCACGACGTTGCCAAACTTACATCAATGAAAGAAAGAAATAAAGAAAGAAGAAATAAAGAAAGAAGAAATAAAGAAATCCCGGGAAGGTCCACATTAATATCAACATTTCGATGCAAGTACATAAATAACTCTACCTAATTCCGACCTCTGTTTATTATAGATATAATATTTTAAATGCAAACTTTAAAATTTAACTCAAAAAATTATATAGTTTTAATAAAATTATTGTGAGCTTTTGACCCCCAAACTAAGATTAAATCTGTTTTTTGGAAGTCAGTGATTCCTCTTATCTAAAGGAAAGCTTCGCAAACTTCATTTTTATATATTAGTAAATCGTTGACGATGTGTATGTGTGTAAATATAAGTATTGTGTGTATGTAGTGTATGTAGAAATGTTTTTAATTAGCCCCAGATAGAAGAGATCGAGCGCACGATCCGCGCCCGCGACGCCAAGATCCAGGAGGTGAAGGAGAACATGAACAACGTGGAGGACGTCGTGTTCAGGGGCTTCTGCAGGGACATCGGCGTCGCCAACATACGGTAACTACATACTCGCCGACATAACATATATATACATGTGCCTACTCTATACCACAGTTTACTTTTACAAAATTGGGTAAGTGCATCTGCGCGAGCGCAATAACGATATGTTTGCGCACGTGTGCAAGAGATATGTAATGCCGTGTTATACGTCCACAATACACACTCGGGGCTACAATAACTGAGACGTTTATCTTAGTTAATTCGTTCTTTATATTAGTACTAGCTTCCCGTCAGCGGCTTCGTCCGCGTGGTCCCTAAGGAACTGTTTAGCGGACTGTTTAGTTTAACTGTTTTAATACTGTTTTAATAAAAAGTAGCGTGTATGTTAATCCATGCTTAAAATTATCCGTAAACTCAATTTTATCAAAAATCCGTTCAGTAGTTTTTTAATAATAGTAAAATTGACAACTTTATGTAAACAGGTTAAATAGTTTAATAATTAATATCATGAGACGGATATAAATACAATGAGAGAAATAGTATAAACAGGGGTCGCTATGGTAACGTTTTGATTCCTTGTACAAACTTCCACTCCCATTTTCATCCCTATAATTGCAGTGTTTCGGGATAATATATACCGCATACGACGTCGTTCCCGTCGTTATTCGTTGCAACCAAACGAACGATTAAATCTTTCCTCTCTATCGTGTGCAGTCAGTACGAGGAGCGCGAGTTGCGCGCGCAGCAGGAGCGCGCCAAGAAGCGTATGGAGTTCGAGGCGCAGATCGACCGCATCGCGTCCAACCTCGAGTTCGAGCGGTCGCGCGACACGCAGAGTGAGTGCCCGCGCTGTGTCTATGTAACGCTGTAGGACACGAGACATATCAGTAGCCGCGTGGTGTGTACTGTGTGCAGAGAACGTGACGCGGTGGGAGCGCACCGTGCAGGACGGGGAGGACGAGCTGGAGGCGGGGCGCCAGGCGGAGCTGAAGCAGCGCCAGGAGATAGACCGGGAGCTGCGCCACGCGGACGAGCTCAAGGCGCAGCGCTCCGCCGCGCGCGCCGCCGCCGCCGCGCACGAACAGGACCTCGAGAAGGTGCGCCTCGCTGTTGCTGATTATATTTATATCACTTTCCTGTCCTTTAGAAATTACAGAGTTCTAAAATATTACTCGATTAGCCGTTCGGCTTGATATCTTGATTTGCTGAGATACTCGAGTGTCGAGTTTGTCAATAATAAATTCCCATCACACCACCAGCCCTTTCACGTCCCCGCTGCAGGGGCTCAGGCCTTCCTTATGGATGGTTAAGGAGTAAATTAGCCAGTATTTATTTGTTCGAGCAGAAAAACTATATCTGGTCTTTTGTTCGAGTCGATACCGTATACACTGACTTTTCCGAGGCCTTTGATAAAGTTAATCATTCAATATTTTATAGAAAACTTGAGACGTTTGGCGTTCACGGACTTTACTTCATTGACTGAAATTCTATTTTATGCGATGGAGTCGACTGCTTCGCTTTGTAGGGTTATTTATTATACATGTTATAAGTGAATTAAATCATAACCTGTTTCAATAACGTTTGGAGTGTCACAGGGTCCACACTTTGGTCTCTTACTCTTTATAATTTTTATTAATGACTATGGACTACTCGTATATCCTTGTTTACTACATGTCGATGACTTAAAAATGTACTAAGGGACCACTCGCCTTGATGATGCTATTAAATTCCAATGTGACATGAATGCACTTTCTAACTGATGTATACAGAATAAAATGTACCTCGATATCGAAACGCTTTGTTATTACATTTTTGCCACAAAAAAAAAGTTACAGTTCTGATTATTGTTTACAACCCCCAAATATTTTGGAATATATCATGGAGTACCTACAAAATAACGGGCCCCGTGTTTTAAATTATTGGCGTTCACACAAACACGTTGATTTGTTTCTGTGATTACGAATGATGATGGTAATAATATGTTGCGCAGGCGCGCAAGGAGGTGTCCAGCATACAGAAGGAGGTGGCGGCCGTACAGAAGCAGATCGCGTCCATCGAGGCGAGGATAGAGAGCAAGCGGAGTGACAGGCACAACATACTGCGCCAGTGCAAGGTGATAAAGACGAATATTACATACATACATACACGATAACACATATGTTGATATGTACTCAAATCACAAACCAAACTATATGGTTATAGAAAAGTTATTTTTCCTAATAATAGAGGATAGGATAGCGATCAGATAAAGATTTAGATTGAATAATTTTGTTCAACAAAAATGATTTATATTTTTAAATTTATAAACATAAATACATTTTTTTCTTATTTGTAGACTGTTTCATGACAAAAATGGTATGATGAAATTAGACATAAAGATATTAGTTTGAAATCGTTCTCAGCACGAAACTTATTGTTGTGATCACATTAAAGCAAATATGATATTGTGAACAGATCGACGATATTATGGTGCCGTTGTTGGAGGGTAGTTTGGACGACACAGCGGAGGGGGAGTCGGAACACTCCTCACTCACCTCCTCGCAGCAGCGCAGCAGAGACTCCAGGTAACCATAAGTAGATTATGTTCATAGGTCAAAAGAAGTTCATAGGTCATTAGCATTAAATTAAATAAAAAAAAAAAGTTTAATTAGTAGCTGGCATTCAAAGGTTGTTAATTAAAAAAATTGAATCCTGAGCGTTAGCGAGGGAATCAAAAAAGCACGAGGTGAAAAATCTTTGCACTCAAATGCAACACTACATCCCACCTCAACTAGGAAATGACTAAATGCAAAGAAAACTTTCTTAATCACATCGAGTAGGTTCTGAGTTATTTTTAACAAATTAAAAAAGTTTCTATGATAAACTCGACACCATGGAGGTAGAAGTAAATACATTTAATGATGTTATGAATTCACAAACTGAGTGCACATGCTGTTCTAAATCCAATTTACTTTATCCTCTAGTGGATTAAAAGGGCTCAGATATCGCAAAGCAAAAATACTTTTTCCGAGATGGGTGGACGAATATTACTTCACTTGATTATTGTTAAAAATTGTAGTAATGTAAGTGTGTGCGTGTGTTTGCAGGATCCGCGTCGACTACCGGTCCCTGAGCGAGGCGCTGAAGGATCTAGAGGAGCCCGACGAGATCAAACGTAAAGCTGACAAACTGCAGAAGGCCATCAACAGTCTGCAGAACACCGTCGACAAGATACAGGCGCCCAACATGAGGGTTGACTAAACGTTCTTATTTTTTGGCTATGGATTTGACTAAGGCGATCGCAGTACACACTTAAAAAGAATTCATTTTTTAGTATAGCTCGATATTATATAATTAAGTTTTACCTAGAATAATTAACGCTTTGACAGTGTAATATACACCGTTGCTTATGCCAAGGTAGATGACTCATCAAGTGAATCTCCAGCATTTTTATTGTGTTATTCTTTTTTTTATTATAAATTTGCTTTTATTTTGTTCTATTAGACTCGCAAGGTTAAAACGGTTTCTGACAGTATATATTTAGCGTGTTTTTGTTGTTGTTTTAAAACCAGGCGATGCAGAAACTGAACGAGGTCCGCGAGAAAGTGAACGCTACGAACGAGGCGTTTGTGGCCGCGCGCAAGCGGGCGCACAAAGCTAAACTGGCCTTCGAGAAGGTAACACTAACATTTACTATGCGTAACAATCAATCTATAAATGAAATTTCATCTATTTTGAAAAAAAAAAGAATTAGTTTTTTTTTTATAAAATAGACTCTTTGGAATTTAAGTGATAAAAAAAATATTTTTTGGATTCCGTACCCTAAGAATAAAACGAGAACCCTATTATTAAGACTTCGATGTATGTCTGTCCGTATATAACAAATACTAAAGAACACAATTAAATAAATATTTAATGTGGCTCCCATACAATTAATATAAATTAGTAAAAGTGTGCATACAAAAATAGTATTTAGAATAATGACTGACTGTTATAAATTAAAATGTTTTAGTAATATATAATGATTTTCATACTATTTAGGTAAAGAAAGAGAGGCACGACAAGTTCATAGACTGCTTCGAGCACGTGGCCAACGAGATAGATGCCATTTACAAAGTAAGTTAGTTCTGTGCTCCTCTCTGTATGGCTGATCTATGGTAATGGCGTCGGAACAATAATTTATTTATTTAATATTTAAATAAAATGTCGAGATAAATCGAGTTCAATCCATTCATCATAATTAATTATATCAAGTTGCTTCGTAAGTCATGGGAGGCCATCGGTCTCTAGACGTGACTGTTGAATACGTTGATTTTTTATTTCATCAACGTATCCAACAGTCACGGGCTCGATACAGACGGTCGAGGGCTCGTGCCCAACAGAGGGGACATAAATAAGCTGATAATGAAGTAAAATGTTTGTAATATCCCTTTGTAATGAGATATTTTTTATTTTGATGTTAAATTTAGATATTTACAGTTCGTATGACACCCTTGTAGATAGTTTCTACGTAATACAAAATTGTCAAGCCATTGCTTATATTACATTTAGTTGTAATTTTTGATCGTGCGTGGTTCGTTCGCAGGCGCTGGCCATGAACCAGTCGGCGCAGGCGTTCCTGGGCCCCGAGAACCCCGAGGAGCCGTACCTGGACGGCATCAACTACAACTGCGTGGCGCCCGGCAAGCGGTTCCAGCCCATGTCCAACCTCTCCGGCGGGGAGAAGACCGTCGCTGCCCTGGCGCTGCTATTCGCCATACACAGGTACACCACGCCGGCGGTCACCCATCCCCCATTCGGACATCTATATACTGTAATTAGTAGTGCTCAAAATCCTGTCCCCGAGTATTAGAAATTTATTAACTCCTCCGATAGAGAATTCCAATGGCACACTGTTAAGTGTTCTCGATCTGTATGCGGAAATTATACAACTTTCGCTAGGGCCAATCAAAAATGGATATGTTGACTTGACGTCTGTATAATCGTGTCCCCAGTTACCAGCCGGCTCCGTTCTTCCTGTTGGACGAGATCGACGCTGCGTTAGACAACACGAACATCGGCAAAGTGGCCTCGTACATCCGCTCGAAGCGCGGCTCGCTGCAGACCATCGTCATCTCGCTTAAGGAAGAGTTTTACGGATGCTCGGACGCACTGGTCGGCATATGCTCAGAGGTACATACACCAATATGTTACGAAGGTGGTTTGAAAAGTTCTCGGCCTGACCGAGATTTGAGGGTAGTATGCAAACTAATATATTGAAAATATCTTTATTCAAGTAGACTATTACAAGCACTTTTGCAGACTATCATAATTTTTTCCCCTACCACTTGTACAGGACGTCTTTTAGCTGACAACTCAACAGCTCGATTCTTTATTCAATTGTATGTTAAATGATATTGTATTGAGACAAGGGTATAATGATTTGTATTTTTATTTTCTTGGTCGGGCCGAGAACTTTTCAAACCACCGTCGTATATCTATTTAAATTTATGAAACCTGTCTTCTATAGCGTAATGAAAGAATGCTATATTTGTGTATCGACTCCAATCCATGTTTTATTATATAAAAATCTAAAGAAAACATATCTTCTAAAAATTATCGCATTAATGTTTACTCGGTTGGAATTCCGTTGTGAGGGTAGTTCTGTAACAGGGAGGTGCTTTGTATTGAACGCTTAGAGAACTAAATGGCGTTCATTTGTGTTCTTCATTATTTAATACACTTAGGTGAGGGGCACGAAACTTCCATTAAGGTTTAATGACCCCTGTAAGCCCTAATAAATGTCTAATTTGTATCGGTAATGTTGCTTTAAACTAATGACAATTTTAATGGACATCTGTGCAACTGGCCATTAATTAATTTTATTTATTTTAGGTAGACTAACAGCTAGAATTGATTAAGGTTCAATGACGCTTTTGCCGTTTGTGTGGTAATCACCGCACAAACGTCCATTAATAAAATACACAGGGTGTTTCATTCGTATTTTTATTATTTCCAGCCGGCAGACTGTCTCGTGAGTGACGTCATAACCCTCAGCCTAGAAGATTACGATGATTAATTTTAATATGTTATAATAAAATTATTTTTATATGGTATTTTATATTTAATTACTATTAGCGCATTCCCTCTCACTGTAACATGTAAATTAATTGTTAAGTTTCTGACATACATATCTAGTGATGAAGTTTGTATCAGGAGTTTTATTTTTGATATATTTATCTCCTGCTATATATTTTGATAGAAAGGACTTCGGGAGTAAAGTAAGGTAATGAAACAAGAACTGATAATAAAAAAAATATGTATGTGTATATTATTATGTATTTGTTCGTTTTTTTTTCGCTATAATTAAACGCCTAGATCCTACTTCTTTTATCAGTGTAAATATATTTTATTAAAATATTTATTTTAAGTTTCAGAATTACTTTGTAACGTAACTATCATCACCATGAAAGAAAAACACAGCTAGAGATCTATCATTACTCTATTTATTTACAATAAAATATCTTTACAATGTACAACTTCTTCGTTTATATACGGTGACTTTCCGTCGGTCTACATCAACCGTCGGCAGTCGACGTCGCTAGTACCACAACTTATATCGTCAATGAACGAAGATTGTGATGCGTGAGAGTGTAATTAAATTAGCTTAAACATTTAATTTGCACGTTTTTTTTTTACTTTTTAAATAAATAGTGATTTGTTGCTGACATGTTGACGTTTTAAAAACGAATGAAAAATATCGTGCATATTTTTTACTTAAATTTCAAGTCGGCAGTATACTTGCATTCATAAGTCGATTCCGATGTTGTTACCGTCATAATGGCGTTTCAATTAAATTTATTTTGAGATTACTTGTTATTGAATCACATTAACCAACGTCACATGACATCGTTGATCGGACAACCCGCCGTTGTTCAGGTTAATAACACAAAATTAAATAATCGTGTAATACTTTAACATTAGCATAAATCGAGACCTTCGAGACGTTCAAAGCGTACGTACATTTGAACATCCCCAAAGTACTACAAATACATTCAGTTAGAAATACGTTATGTACAAACTTTTCAGTATCTATTTCGTTTTATACAAATTTACTTCTAAATGACAGTAAATTTATCACTTTTAATAATCTACGTAAAACAATTGAAAAATACATTCAAGCAACAAATTAGGAATAAATTATATAAAAGGGATGTTCCCTAATTTAATTTTCTTCCTTCCATTTTACGATACACCCCGTACGTATATATGACAAAAAATGCGTTTAATATATATTCCAGTAAATTATGAAGCCTTTAATAACAAATATTTTAAACTTAATTAATGTATATACCTAAAGCATATATACATTGAATTGAGCATTATACAATGAACATACCAGGGGTGCGATCACCTAAATCTAGCTATGACAGATCCATAGGATACGACACTTTAGAGGTGCTATGGTGTTATTTAATTTTACTACGAATGAATGGTGATAATGGATTAGACAACATTTAACCCATCAAAAGCCAAAGTAATCTATTAAAAGTATTGCTATAACATAACTAAAATGTATCTTTTCGGTTAGTCGATAGCATCCCAAGAGAAAACAAGTTGCTCGAGTTTCAGGGCAAAAACTGCCTTAAGGCGAGATTTTATTAGGTGATGAAATTATCATTTTTTAAACCAATTTTATTCTTACGCTATGCTAATATATGTCAAATAAATATCATTTGGTGAAAATTAAATCGACTGAAAAAATTTCAACAATAGCTCTAAATAGGTTTCTTTGGATCGATTTTACGACTTATTTGACGAAAAGATTATTTTTCAACTTTAATTGTCAACGATGCTTCATTATGACGGTCGCACGCTCAGAGGTATTAATGAAAAATTTATTTCGATACAGAAAGGTAATATTTATATTCGTTAAAATTGAACTGGCGACACTGAGTATCCCGGTTTCTTAACGCAGTTTAGGCCCTCGACTTTGATGCACAGTCGATTGTACACACATCAGTACAACGGGTTACCAACACAATACCAAAATTCTGTGATTGATATTAACTATTAATATTGGTATTATGTTTTAAAGTTTCATATATACCTATTTGCTGTTGACTGTACATTAATTATCACCCATCAATACAGTAATCCATTTATTCGGAATTAAAAACGTAACACATATAAATAATTTAAGACTGCTTTAGTACAATAAACTATTACATTGTTTCTACAAGAACCGTCGCATTAGACCATTTATGCTCTATCCTAGATTCACGCCAGCTCCCTTACAGGGTAAGCAAAGAGAACTTTGTTCAATGTATAAACTTATATTACGTGTGTATTGCACTAATTAAAGAATATGAAATTTAATAGCAAAAATGCTTCAACAGCTGATCGCGCACACCAAAATATTATGAATATTTAGTTTCATTCTCAATCTCAAACGAAGCCTGTACTGTAAGCTGAAATCAAAACTTAAAAGCTCGATTGATCTGAAATATAACCACGGTAGTGCACTATGTTTGAAAAAAAAAACGACGTAATCGATTAAACTTTTATGCAATGGCATAAAACTGTAATGCTAAAAGTTTATAAACAAGTAGACAATTATTAAAGTTGAATGACTTGCTAGTTATCCTGGTTTTTATATGAAGAGTGATGATAGATTTAAAAATGAAATTGTGTTATTTCTTGGTCTCATTTGTGGTGCTACACTTATTGAAATAAACCAAGTTTAGACAGATAACATCCGGCAGGACAAATGACAAGTCAACATTTTATTTTTGATTGTTTTGAGTTTTCTTCAATTCCTATTAGTATTTAGAAATGTTTATGTTTCGAAAATTCTATCCATATACTATGTTGTATGTAATTATAAGCTATTCTACGTGTTTGGTACTGTTATTTATATGGAAAATGGAAGAGACATATATAACAATTTTGAAAATGGACTTTTTATATCAATACTACGCAACTTATCAACGAGATACTTAAGTCCTAATGATCACAAAATGTCCTGCTAAGGAGCGAGAAAGAGAGTGACCGACGCGGTAGAGCGGGACGACATTAAACGTGTGTAATTTAACGTTCACAGCCACTGGAACTTAGCATTAAACGACAGATCATGTCGGAATATTTCCACACACTCCATCGTCCGATACCTTAATATATTCTCATTTGTGTAACTCAACATGAACGCGATAGTCCGTGATCTGCTCTAGATATCTATGAGGCACGAAACGTTAATTTATTATACGATACGACAGGCGAGTATCTGTTACGCCGCGTCCACTAGTCGGGCGTGTGCGGGGGCTGCGTGCTGAAGTAGGGCGCGGCGTGGGGCTGCAGCAACGTGCGGCACACTGTACACACGCGGGCGGGGGCGCGCCGGGGCCCGCTGGGCACCTCGTGGGCCACGCACGACGCGCAGAATATGCGCCCGCAGTGGCGACAGTGCACCTGGCCGGTACATATATATGTATATATATAGTGGCTATCCGGCCAGTTGCACAAACGTCCATTCAGGTTTAACGTTGACGTTTGTGCAACCCGGCTTTATATTCATTAAAAACAACAATGAAATTTATTTTATCTTATAAAAGCATATGTGCACACGAGGAAGTGATTATACATAATCACATGTATTTTTTATTACACGATCGGACTATCTTCATCGTCCAATAGGTAAGTTACTTCTGTTCAGGATAGGGATGATGACTATTGTTTTTTTGTACGTTCCTCAGGTAGATTGTTATTAAAGTATTAAGCACGTATTTTTGTTTATTTTTTGCGTATACATTAAGTTTAAATGTCACATGACATCACGCTTTGGTACATTTTCTAAAAACTGACGTAACAAGCCCCAATGCTCAACTTTAAAACCTGTTATCGAAGCTATTTCTTGTTAAAATAAAGTAAAAAGAAATAAGTGTCTAATATATTTCTATTATCTGACTGACAAACTAAATAGAATTTCCTTTTTCATTCAATATCAACCAACCAAGCGTCCCCCAAGGATCCCACTTAGAGCCGCCGTTTCTCTCTTGAATCTCTTGAATATATATCTCTCTTGAATATATATATTCAAGAGAGAAACGGCGGCTCTAAGTGGGATCCTTGGGGGACTCTTGGTTGGTTGATATATATATACAACGTGTCCCAAAATTCAACGATAAGCGGGCGCCAAGAGGTAGGCCTGCTCATGTGTACTTATGGAAAAATAAGAAAAAAATTATTTCTTATTAATCTTTTTTATTATAAAATTAAATTCGAAAATCTTCGAAAATTTACACCTTTTATGATATTTTCAACTACCACGACCACAACTTCTCAATTAGTGTTCAATCTTTTTTTGGTATCGGATACCTAAGTAGCACTACTATTCGCTACAACTCTTAAAAACACCAAAATGCCCGCAGTTTTTACACAACAAACAATGAAAATGTATTTTTTCCTTAAATTTTCACAGATTTTTACGTTCCGTAATCTTTGACTTACGGTCTTGTAAAAAAAAAGTATGGACACCACTGTGGCAAGTTGTTTTTAAAATTGACTGAACTCATCAAGATTCCAAAATGGTATAATAATCTAAGATAACTAGTCACAGTAAAAAAATATGCACACCATTTGTAAACAAACTAACCAAATTATAAATATTCATTAGATATTTATTTATTAGGTAATGCTCTATTTCTGCTATTTTGAAAGTATTGTTTTTCATGCCACTTCGCCCTTTACTTGTGTCTATGTATACCAAATTACCAATTCTACCAGCTACCTGCACCCGAGCGGCTGCATCCCTTTATCGAAAACGAGTTCTGCGGCATTGTCACATTCCTTTGACGTAATTTGTTTTTCTAACTCAGTTCGCACGTTTGTAATGGCTCAACTTATAGTTGACTCAACAGATAGCGAGAAGGGGGGTATGTTAGAGAGGGATAGATAGATATTTTTTGTAGAATAACAACAATGCAGGTACATAGAGAAATCCTGTTCTCAGCAAATCTGAAGTCGGATCAGTACGTTCTGCTCCTTTGTTTACTGCGCACCTTTCTGTATTCAATTGACGTGGCTCTCGTACTAACGACTTTTGGCTTTCTATTTTGGACTGGAATTAAGTGATCTGCAAACTGAACTAACCTGGCATTAATTTGGACTGTGATAGTGTTTTGTGAATTGGACTTTCGTCGTATTTTGGATTGTTTAGCGTTATCATGCCGCTACCATACACGCCGACGGAATACGCTAATATGCACCTCATTTATGGAGAATGTCGGTGCAATGCTAACGCTGCTAGCAGATTGTATCGGGAAAGGTACCCGAACGCCCAAAGATACCCAGATTACCGAGTATTTATGAATGTGCATCGAGCGTTCTCGGAGGGTCGTTTGCCATCAGCCAGAAGCAACGCTGGAAGACCTAGATCGGAATACGATGAAGAAGTTCTCAATGAAATAAACATTGACTGAACTACTTCAGTACGCGCCATAGAAGCAGCTACGGGAATCCCAAAAAGTACGGCTCATCGAATTTTAAAACGTCACAGGCTTCACCCATACCACTACAGACGTGTGCAAACATTGCTACCACGGGACTATCCACTACGGATCACATTTTGCCGTATTATGCTTCAAAAGCACCGGGAAGATCCTCAATTCTTGGACAAAGTACTATGGTCGGACGAAACAACATGCAAGAAAGATGGATATTTAAACCTCCACAACCTACACAGCTGGAGCAATGAAAATCCACACCTAATGAGACAGGAAAAATCCCAATATCAGTTTAAGGTTAACCTATGGACGGGCATATTAAATGGAAAAGTGATCGGGCCTTTTGAACTACAAGGAAACTTGGATGGTGACAGTTATTTGAACTTTTTACAAAATGATTTGCCAGAATTGCTTGAAGACGTCCCCTTAAGAGATCTACAAAATATGTGGTTTCAAAATGATGGTTGCCCAGCTCACTACGCTCGTCCTGTGAGACAATACTTGGACCAAGAGTATTCCGGGCGTTGGATTGGGCGACTTGGTCCTATCTTATGGCCACCCCGATCACCCGACCTAAACCCCCTGGACTTTTTCTATTGGGGTTGTCTCAAAGACAAAATCTATGAAAAACCCATTACGACATTGGACGAGTTTCGGCAAAAAATTAGTCAGGCTGCGTCACATATCAATGCTAAAAGGTATGCACGAAAAATAAAACGCTCTTTTTTAAGGCGATGTCGTGCATGTATTAATGCCGGTGGAAAACAATTTGAACATTTACTGTAATGTTAATTATTAATAAATGAATGAGACTAAAACTCACTATTGTTTTATTTCAATATTTTTTTTAAATATTAAAACATTTCAGAACAGTACAATTTATTACTCACAACTTTGGTTCTTGATTCTAAACGGTATGATTTGTAGTTTGTTGCTAGTTATCATGAAGTATTATACCATTATGGAATCTTCATGAGCTGCGTCAATTTTAAAAACAATTTGCCGCAGTAGTGTCCATACTTTTTTTCTACATGACTGTGAGTCAAAGATTACGGAACGTAAAAATCTGTGAAAATTTAAGGAAAAAAATACATTTTGATTGTTTTTTGTGTAAATACTGTACTGGGCATTTTGGTGTTTTTAACAGTTGTAGCGAATATTAGTACTACTTAGGTATCCGATACCAAAAAAAGATTGAACATAATTGAGAAGTTGTGGTCGTGGTAGTTGAAAATATCATAAAAGGTGTAAATTTTCGAAGATTTTCGTATTTTATTTTATAATAAAAAAGATTAATAAGATATAATTTTTTTCTTATTTTTCCATAAGTACACATGAGCAGGTCTACCTCTTGGTGCCCGCTTATCGTTGAATTTTGGGATATATACCTTCTTCTTAGTGTTGGGCAAGTGTTGATGACAGGATGGGCACTCGGTGACGTCATCGTCGTGCTGCCACCGCACCTCTGTATCCTCCTCGCGGATCCGTTGCAGTTGCACCTGATCACAACATACAATAATAACTTAATTGTAAAAATAAAAATCTATAAATCAAAAATTAAATATCTTACGTGGAAATCTGACTTTTATGATATTAGATACGAGTATGTCTACGACGACGAGATCATACCCTTTGCGACATGTATACAAGGGAAGTAGAACTAACTAATTAGACAAACCATAAACTCAACCGATATTTAATTTACGCATGGGAAACTTTATATTACTGTTTATATTATTTTATATCTACGATGCAATAAGGTTTCCAAAACGGGACACCAGTATTTTAATTTACTAGTTTAAAATCAAATCTAACAAAATGCCCCTGTCTGTCGCTTATTTAACATTTTACAATTTATTTTGTTTACAATATATAATTAATTAACTGATATTATTAGTGATCGAAAGATTCGTCAGTCCTGTTAAGTCCTGGGTAGCTCAGTGTTAACCACTGAGCTACCCAGGACCTCTTCAGGAGCAATCATTTGTTATTAATTTTTAAACATTTTCAAATTAAGTAAGGCAACTAGAGCCTATCCTGCAACCATAGCTTTGTTGCTACAATTCCGATATCGTAAGTAACCTCTTTTAGCATCGTCCAGAGGAGCATTATTACCTGAAGCGACTGTGATAGTCGAACGAAGTCCTGTTGGACCTTCTCACTGTTGTCCAGCTCCTGCTGCAGCACGGACACGCGCCCGCGCAATTCCAACATCTCAGACTGAAGACGTTTCTGAATAAAGAGAACACCTCTACTATATTATAAAATATTAATCTAAACAGGTTCTGTTATTTAAAATGGATGAACTCGTTATATTAATATGGACAAGTGTCAGGGATTCGAGCTCTTATATTTGTCTGGAATTTTATTTTCTTACTATTATAGTTTGACCATTGACCAAAACGACATAATCCATCTATTTTAATCACAATCTGAATGATAAAAAATATATCATACTACATATATGCAGTTTCGTATTTGTAAAAATACTGAAGTTTTTATGATAATTATATAAATGTTATCTTTCGGAGATATATATGCTTCGGTTCATACCTAAATGGTTTTATATGTCATTTCTTTCTTGAACGCAAAATAATACGCCATCTATGCATCAGAACACGACCAATGTATTAAGTTCGAAATTAGAAATTAGACAGTTGCAATATTTAACGGTCACCTTGTCCTCGAGCAGGCGTTCGATGAGGTCGTTGGAGTGTCGCAGCTTGTCGCCGAGTTCCTGCATCTGCTCGCGCTCGGTCTGCAGGCGGTCCAGCTCCTCCCTGTGATACGATATATCGTCACAAACTCGTCGTATCGCTGCCACACAAGTACAGGGCGACACGCACCTGGCCCGCTGCAGCTGCCGCGCCTGCTCCGCCAGCAGCGCGTCGTGTTGGTGCAGCGCGCGCGTGTGGTGCGCCAGCTGCCCCCGCGCCTCCCCCTCCGCGGCCGCCGCGCGCTCCGCGCCCAGCCGGCACACCAGCACCTGCTCGCGCAGCCGCAGGCACTGCTCCTGCAGCTCCTGCGCGCACGACACATATCGCGCTGTTTTTAAATGGCCGATATACATCTCATTTCGAATAAAAGCCGCTCTATTTGTTAGACTATTTGAAAGTTTATTATGAGACACGATTATCACCGAAAACATATGAAGACAAAACCGATTCGGCTGGGAGAGAACAGTTCTGATTTTATCTCCCTGATATATGCATAAAAGTAAATATCGATTTGATAAACTCTCAATAACACACACCGGTTTCCCAAAAGTAATCTAAATAACTCAGTTCGGTTAAATTGATAGATTAATCAGCAATTTTAATTTATTCGCAGGAGAGTTGTGACAATAGCTGTTGCACGTATGACATTGACGTACTTAATGAACGTAAACATAAAATTAAAATAGTGGGAGATGATTATTTTGCAGGTTTGTCAGCTTTATTAGAAAAATCAAGAACTAATAAATGGAATGACGAATATCATCCTGTGTCTTACATCTTCAGTGGTGCACCTAATTCTCAAATACTAAAAATCTACGATGAAGAATTCATGAGTTCCTTGAGGAAAGGTGATATTGTAATACTTAGAGTTGATGGATACGATGAAAACCTATTAAAATTGGAATCCAAATTGCATATAGCACTAGCATTAAAATATTCATCAGTGTTAATAATGCCAGTATATCAAAGAAATGATTTTAATGTAAATTCATTAAATCGTAACTTAGAGCTGTGTTGAAATATATATCCAAATTGTAAATCTTGAACTCTATTTTTGTCGAAATAAGAATATCCTCCTGCATACTCTGACTTTAAAAATTAATGTATTTATAGACAGTGAGTGACAAATATGATCAAATTTTTCTAAACCCTAAAACATTGTTAAATACTCCAAATGCTCTGTTAAAAACACTACAAAAGTTAGAAAAGTATGGAAGCAATCTGGTATATTAAATTATTTTGCAATGTAAATAAAATAAGATCAATGACTGATAGGCAAACAAATATACCAATAGATAGTTTCATTTTTTTGGACCTAACTGTCAGAAAAAGAGTGTAGTAAATGTACTAACTACATCAGAATGTTTAAGGCTTATTGAATATATTAAGTACAATATAATTATGTATTGACGAATTTAAAGAATATGGCAAAAAATTTATGTTTTATGTTTTTCTGAGACGTTTGTGAAATGAGGCTCTGAAAGCAACATTGTTTGAAAAACTATAAGTTAGCTGCTTCCTTCTGTAGAGCAGAGCAAAAATGCGGAGGTGTCTGCGGGCTGGTTCGCAGGCAATTAAAATATAAAATTCTTGATGTATGTTCTGAATTTTCCGAGGAAGGGATCTTTAAGTGCTGTGTTGTTGAAATGCCCACTTTTAAATGCATAATTGTATGTATGAAAATTTCGGTAAAAGAAAATTTAATCATAGAGTACCTAATTTTTTTAATATTGTTTGAGCAAAGTCTATATAAATTGTCAAAATATAGAACTAAACCTACTTTTATTGCTGGAGACACGAGTATAAATATTCTGAAAGTGATCGAAACATAACATACCGAAAACTTTTGACGTTCAATTACATGTAAATGAGCCTATGAGATTGACATCCTACATTTATCACATTGCAAGTAACATAAAAGATGCCAAGGGTGAAGTATACAGTATTATCTGATCAGAACACTGGATAAACTCTAGAATTCTCAATATAAAAAAAATGCTTATCCAGCCTCACTTGGAACGATGTTTAGCAAAATGGAACCGACGTTGATAGGGCATTTAACAGTTTCCATGAAGACATAATTTTATTTTTTGATCTTTGTATTCCTACTAAGAGAATCAGAGTGGATGTGAATGACGGTAAAAGAAAATTTAATACCAAAGGGTTTAAGGTATCTAGTGGTAAAAAGCGAGAACTGAGACGTCAGTATGTTTTGTGCAAAACTACAAAAAAAAAAAACCTTAACAAATACACCATATTACTAAGAACTTGTATTAACAAATCAGGATATATTCAAAATAGTCGATTTATTAGAGTCATGAATGATCCTATTGACATGGCAAAAATATGTATTTAATATACATTTTATAAAACATAATGATAATCAAGCATAATGATAATATGAATGACTATATAGGAACTGTAAATAATTCTTTGTTTTTATGGCCATGCACAGTGCAAGAGCTTACAAAAAATTATTAATTTGCTAAGCAACACCTAAGTCGGTAGGATTTGACTCTCTACCTACTTTCTTATTCAAGACATGCGCTGATATTTTGGCTCCTGTGTTGAATCATCTTATAAACCTCTTATTTGAGCAAAGACAGTTACCAGATGCGCTAAAACTCTCTGTAGTTAAGCAAAGCCAAAATAACAAGCTAAACGTTAATAACTATGGACTTATTTCCCTAATCTCCATACTTTCTAAAAAAATAAAAAGTGTTAGCCGTATTTTGCAAAGAATAGTCAATGTTCAGGAACAATATGTTTTCCAAAAGGATAAATCCACCTCACTCACAGCATTTATGTTGATGAAATCTGTTACAAGTAACACAGATAAAAATATTGCAACTATAGCGTTATATTTTTTTATATGAGTCTAGCTTTTGACATCGTTGATCATGAAATACTGTTAAATAAATGTGATAAGTACGGCATTAGGGGTAATGCTCTGGACTGGCTGGCGAGTTACCTCTCGAATCGTAAACAGTGTGACGAGGTAGCTGTAGTGAAGTTATTCCATACAGATCTCCTTCTCTTCCAAATGAACGTGGTGTTCCGCAGGGAAGTGCAATTGGGTCACTTTTGTTCCTAATTAATATTAATGGTCTACCAACGTCAATTAATTATCAAACTATTTTATTTGTAGATGACGCTTCAGTAATAGTATCAGAGGAAAACAACGGTAATCCTACCTTAAATGAGACTGTAAAGTATTGACGCATAGCTAACTAGAAATGTATTTATTTTGAATACTCCGAAAAAAACATTCATTCAGTTTACTAATTATGAATCAACTCGTTTTAAGTTAAATGTTATTCACAAAGATAATAAGCTTAATGAAGTCAGTGAAACTAAATTTGTAGGTGTCATTTTTGATCAGCATTGCAACTGCAAAGCTCACATCATTGATCTTTATTCTAAACTAAATAGATTTGCATCAAAAATATTAAGATGGCGGCTGGCGAAAAGGAAGCTTTAACCGTTTTATTAAAGGGTAACTCTCCTGACATAAACTGTGCATTCCTTATACAAAAGAAATGCATTTGAGCCATTTGTGGAGCAGGACCAATAGACTCATGTTGACCTCTATTTCGAAAATTGCAAGTGTTAACCTTGACAGGTATCTATATTTTAGAGATGGGTATGCTCGTCAGATGTCGTCCTGAACAGTTCCTAAAAATTAACGCTACGAAAAATCCTCGACTGCGTCCGAGATGGTATACGTCTGCATCAACAATCGCGTTTTTTCAAAAAAATTGCTACGGCATGTGCAATAACGTTACTTTACATATTAAAAGATTGCTTGCAAACCGGTAACTACAGTTTTACGTAAACGGTTGACTGAAAAGTCTCCATATAATATTCTTCTAAATGAATATTTTAATAATAATATAGTTAAAAATTTTGACATTAGATAAAATTATAGCATGTCAAACTTTAGTGAAATATGTGAAATATTGTCGCAAACCAGCTCTAATGTTTCCGTGTTATTTTATTTATTTATTTATTAAACTTTATTGACCCGTAATAAAAAAAAAGGTACAAAAGGCGGACTTAATGCTAATGGCATTCTCTCCCAGTCAACCTTTAGGAAAAACGATAAACGCGATGGCGGCATTAATAAAAGATTAACTATGCATAGAATATAGAAATAGAAACTGACAAAAAAAAAAAATATATATATATACATACAACTACATATATACACACAATAGCACAAATATAGATACATAATACTGATGATGAATTTCACATATTTTTCATAAGAAAGGCATGAGCTTTACGTTTAAAAATAAATTTATTGGGAGATCTTCTGATGGGGTCAGGGAGACTATTCCACAGTCGTATGGCTTGGAGGGTAAAAGAGTCGAACATAAAGCCGGAATGAAAAAGAGGAGTAGAAAGTGAGAGTGTGTTAGAAGAACGGAGTTGTCGATCATGCGAATCGCAAAGATACTGGAATTTACATTTTAAGTAATCAGGAGAATGTGGATTGGAGAGAACAGAAAAGAGTGTGCAGAGCAGACGTAGCTGTCTCCGCTGACGTACGGGGAGCCATTTAAGCTGCGACCGATAGCAAGAAACATGATCATATTTCCGAAGGCAGAAGACGAAGCGGATGGCATTGTTGATAAGACAGTCCAACTTATTCAGTAGATCCTCATTTAGGTCAGAGTAACAGACATCCGCATAATCAATGAGTGGTAGAATAAGGGAGGCAGCAAGAGTTACCTTAGTTTTAATAGGCAGAAAACTTCTGAAACGATTAAGGGAACGCAATGAATTAGTAACAGCACGACTAACCTCCGCCACCTGTGTTGTCCATTTCAGCTCCGAATCAATATGAAGGCCGAGATTCTTGACACTAGAGCTAAAGGGTATTATAGAGCTTTCAAACACTACAGGCGGGAGCATGCCGGTATCCAACTTAGAAAGCTGTTTGGAGCTCCCAACGACAATAGCCTGGCATTTCCTTGGGTTAACGGAAATTCCAAAATGAGACGACCATTCGCTGATATTAGAAAGATCATTATTCAGCTTAGAAATGCCCGACCTAATTTCCTCCGTCGTGGTTTGTACATATATCTGTAGATCATCTGCATAGAAATGATAAGAGCAACCAAGCGAGAAAGAGAGGTAATTTATAAATATGGAGAATAGTAAAGGAGAAAGAATCCCCCCCTGAGGGACACCAGAAGTCAGATCGTTCCAAATAGATAATTCACGATCCTTCCGTACAGCCTGCTGACGCCCACGAAGATAAGCAGAGAACCAATCCAATGTCAACGATGACAGACAAAGAGACTTAAGAACGGCCAACAGAAGGTCATGGTCAACCATATTGAAAGCATTGGAGAAGTCTATAAGAACAATGATAGTGACCAATTGCCTTTCCATGCCGATCCTAATGTCCTCGGTGACTTTCAGAAGAGCAGTAGTTGTACTATGTCCGGCGCGGAAGCCGGATTGGAAAGGAGTGAGAAGGGATTTGGAGTGAATAAAGTTCGATAACTGTTTATGGGCTGCGGCTTCTAGGATTTTGGATAGAAAAGGAAGGATTGATATCGGCCTAAAGTCATTTAGTTGTTTTGGAAAGGAGATTTTAGGAAGGGGAATAACATATGCTTTACGCCAAATCAGGGGAAATTCACCAACGGTAAAAGAGAAGTTGACGATGTGAACAATAACCTGAAGAATATTATCTAAAATGTTGAGAATCATGTCTCTGCTCACATCGTCACATCCCACAGCCTTTGACTTAATAGAGATGATAATCTTTTTTATATCATCAGTTGACATTGGAGAAAAGGAAAATGATTCAGAGTGAAGTTGAGCCTTGGAAGCAATTTTATTAATAGTAGTCGATTTGGTATAAGAATCTAAAGAAGAGGTAGAAGAAAAATGATTATTGAAGTCGTTAAGTGAAAAGGGGTAAGACTGGGGCTGTGAGGATGATTTTCCCAAACCCTGAGAACGTAAAAACTTCCAAATATTGGCTGACGAACAATTAGAGATGTTTTCATGGAAATAATGTCGCTTCGCTGCTCTCACCATCCGATTGCATCGATTGCGCGCAATCTTATAGAGACCCCAATTCTCCTCCGTCCTGTCGCGCTTGAAAGCACGGAAAGCCCGATCTCTTCTTGACATGGCCATACGAACACCTCTACTAATCCACGGAGCAAGCAGCCGCTTCAGTCTGACAGCTCTTAATGGAGCATGTGTATCGTATAAATTATGTAAACATCTATTAAAGATAGCGACCTTCATATCGATCGAAGCAGAATCAAATATAGAAGAAAAGTCAAGCTTAGCAGCATCCTCACTCAATTTGTCATGGTCAAGTCGAGCGAAATTACGCATCCAGACTGTGACAGGTTTTGGCTTAGGTGGTTTTAACCTGTATGCAAGAAAAATAAGGTCATGTTTGGAGAATCCTGGTGCAGGCAACTGGCCGTGCTTTATTACACCGTCGGGGGTAGTTATGATTAGGTCAAGCCATGTGTCACGTGAAGACGGATTGTGATGAGTCGGCTCAGAAGGCAAAATTGATAAATCGACAGACTTGACGATATCCAATAATTTATCTGTGTGAGAAGTCTTACAAGAAAGATCAGTATTAAAGTCACCCATGACTATGAGATGCCTGTAGTCCGCACACAGAGGTTCAAGAATGGATTCAAGATGGGCAAAGTAATCGACAGTAAGTGGACAATAAACGACTGCAAGAATAGCACCAACACTCCCTACAGAAACTTCCAAAAAAATATACTCAGCAGAACAAGAATAAGTCGAGGGTGATGATGCTAGAATCTTGTGAGTTATATCACTGCGCAAGTATACAGCGACACCCCCACCACGCCTACCAATGCGGTCGTTACGGATCAACGTATACCCAGGTAGAGAATAAGATAAAGAAGAAAGACATGGCTTGAGCCAACTTTCAGAGACTAAAATAGCGTGAATGTTATGTGAGGAAAAAGTGTCGAGAAAGTCGGAGTAATGAGAGGGTATTATTTGAGCGTTTATATGACATACATTGAAACCATGGGGAATGCACTGAAAAACACCGCGGAGTTGAGAACCTAAGGTCTCAGGTTGAGATTGCGAAGAAAAACTATCAGAAGAGGAAAAACTGACATTACAAGCTGAATAAAAAGATTCATCATCAGACATAACAAAATATTAATATATAAATACAAATAAAATATTTATAAATATATAAATAGCAATATATAATAAAGTACTAGTACAAAATTAACAACATTGTCATCTGTCCTGTCGGTTGACGAGAAAGAACGAATAAGTAAAATGCATTGAGATACAAAATAATTAATTAGAATATAAGCCAAATAGTAGGAAGCCAGAGCGATTAATAAAACATACTTTAAATAGATTTGGCTGTATGGGTCAGACCCTTTGTTTAAGATAAAAGTAAAAAAGTGTTCTATTATACTGACATAACAATGACGTGACGATAAATAAACAAACACAAAACTAGAAATGTTTGCATTAGTATTAACTATAAGAAAAATAAACAAGAAATCTGTTAATTATACTAAAACAATATATGATAATAAAACAATTAAAGGGCCTACCAGTAAAACAAGAGTTACTTTTTCGCCCTGGCTAACCGTTTAGGTTTCGCGCGTGTTTCTGGAGAAACCAAGGTCCGCGTCACAAAGTCAGGATCAGCCGCCTGGAGAAGTTCATCCTCGGTTACCGGAAGCGCAGAGAGGTCACAGTCGGTGAATATTCTCTGTCTGGAACCGTTCTTCAGCTTGACAATGACGTTACCATCCATCGTCCAGCAGCGTCTTATGCCGAAGCGCTTACGTGCGTTAATGAAGACGTCTCGTCGCTGGCGTGTAAGGAATTCGGAGATGGTATGAGGTGTTCCCTTTAAAGCTGTCTTCTTTTTCCATACAGCAGCCCTTAAAGTTAGATCTGTGAAGCGCACCAGGACAGGTCGACATCTCCCCTCCGCCGCATTACCGAGTCGATGGCATGCAGACAGCTTGTCCTGTGACAAAGCCAGCCCCATTTTGTTGACGAAAATAGAGACAATACTTTTTGGAAGGTCATTGGAATCCTCTGCAACGCTACCCACCAACAAGTACTTCCTTCGATGTCTCATTTCGATGTCATCTATGCATCTGCAGAGCCCAGAAATTTGATAACGAAGAAGCTGTAACACTGATAATGTCTCTGTTTTGAATTCCTGGAATTCTTCCTGCAAACGAGCATGTGATCCATCAGCCTGTGCAGGAGTTGCTTTCCACCGTTGTTCCAACTCGTTCATTTTCTTAAACAATTTAGTTTCAAGAGCGTGTTGTGTCTCCAAAACTGCTGCGATATTTGCCATTTCTAATATATATCCATAGAGGTGAAAGTGAGTGACCGACAGGACAGTACTTCAAAACACAACTAATCCCACATATATCACACAGATAACACTAGATAGTGATTGGTGTCTAATATACTATAGAATAACGTTATTTATTATTAAATGGAGCAATTGTAAGTATTTTTCAGAAAAATTTTTTATAGGAGAACAATCTTAATGCTTTTTACTCCTACCGCCGAAAACGTTATATGGGAATAAATTGATTTTATTCTATAGATTTTTTTTTTGGAACTAACCTCAACGTTATCAGGCAAGTCTATAATTTCATTCTGCATCTCCGCCGCTTTCTTCACGTACTCGCCCACCAAATATGCGTTGTCTTTCTCCAATCTGCGAACCGAATTACTCGAATCGACAAACAATTTTAAACCTATCGCATTAATAAAATTTTAAGGAGTCAAAATGTAAGGACCGAACCGAGAAAAATATTGCATACACCTCTAACAATTTCAAGGGAATTCGTCATCGTTCTGGTAGAAATGCAATATCCATTACGGGACGGCAACGGCAAAGTGCGGGTGAGCTCACGTGTCCAGCTTGCGCTGCAGCGTCTCCCTGTCGACGGTGAGCGTGGTGACCAGCTGCAGCGCGCGGTGCTGCGCGGCGGCGGCGGCGGCGGCGTGGTCCCTGGCGGCCGCGTCCGCCGCCGCCGCAGCCGCGCGCGCGTCGGCCACAGCGGCGGCGGCGGCGGCGCGCGCCCCCCCCCACGCGCGCACCGTCTCGTCGTGCACCGCGCGCACGCCCTCCAGCTCCTCGGTCGCCTGACAGATCGAAACAGGCAGCTCGAAATGTAGCTTGCAAACATTAGTACGTCTAACGCCGTGGTGCGTTCATGATGTCGGAAAAAAAAAGCAGAAACATTTTCGGCTTCCAGCGATGCTATCGATCATGATCCCGTTTAAAAACAGGTATCATTGTTAAATGTAAACGAACAAAGCTGACATTTGCTAAAAAATTGTATTATAAAAAATATTCTTAATAAAAAATGCTTAAAAATCCACTCTATCCCCGACCCTCTCAGATGGGACTCGAACCCCAAAACCAGGATTCGACTCGCATGTCAGAATCCACAAAGTGGATTTCTAAAATATTTTTCATTAAGAATATCTTTCAAATAACATAGTGAGAGCAAAATTTATCAAATATAATAAATAGTATTATAAAAATTCGAAATAATAGAAAACTAGAATAAATATATAAATAAATAGAATCTAATCACACCCTCTCAAAAATTAAGTCCAGTATTCATTTAGTATTCAGCCACGTATATTGTGTGCGAGTGATGTATATATATGCGTGCACGTGCCCGTGCCCGTTCGCCCGTACGCCCGTGCACGTGTACGTTACCAGTTTGAGCGCGGCCTCGAGCCTGTGCGCGTTGGCCCGCGCTTGGTCGGCGCGCGCCTGCTCGCTGACGAGCTGCTTCTCGTAGTTGGCGCACATGTCGCAGCGCCGCGCCACCTCTGGCGGAACGTCACTCGTTAAACCGACAGTAAAGATTTGCGTTTATGTATATACATAACAAATGGAACGATAAAAATGTGCATATTTAAAATTTTAAAGACTTCAATTGTTCTTAATATTAAAAAAATAATCCTATAATAATACTTAGGTGTGTACGAAATTAAGAAAATGCTAATACGTTAAATAAAATTTAAATAATAAGAATTTTATAACTACATTATGTCACATACCTGTTTCTGGTTTATTGTCACCGCTGGAGCCGGCGGAGTTTGGTGCTGGACTGCTGATCTTTGTAGATTTTGATTTCTACAAATGTTTTAATTTATTAACATTTTTAATTCATATTTTACTAATCATTTATAATGATACATTTAAATCTATAATACAAAACAGTAAAATTCCTATATTGAATATATTATGATGATTTACTTGTCCAAACGGCATATAGTTTTTTTTAGTACTAGTTCATATTTAGTGTATACTAACCAATGCGTCTTGTAACTGCGTGTCTGTGTCCCGGAGTTTCTCCTTTAATACGGCTATCTCGTCGTTGAGCGGTTGTATTATTGACTGAACCAGTTCATTATCTTCCATATTCTAAAACACGTCACGTTATATTTATAAATTAGTATATATCATAGATAAATAGGTATCACATCTTATGTTTACTGTACTCAAAGAGTAAGCTAATTTAGTTATTTGCTATTAATTATTAGTGAATACGAAAGTTGAGCTTTTCAGCTGATAATTTCCGCAGCACAGTTGAGTATATATGCTCAAACGCTTCATTCATTTGAGAAGAGAGTTGGAGACCCGCGAGCCGGTCCACACTACACGGATTCATGCTACACTTTGCGGTTCCCAAGTCTAATGCGTTAAAAGATAACTGTTTTTACAACTTTAACTTTTTTATAACTTAACAATTCTAGCTAAAAAGCATCTGACAACAAAACACAAGGAATTACGAAAGAAGATCGGGATAAAGCCCTGATATTTAGATACAACTGCGGTGATCATGGAGTAAACGAAATCTTGCAGGTGTAAGGTACACAGCAGCTATCCCATAAATCACATAACATAAATCTAATGTAAATGAGTATGATAGTCCAAGATCCCAGAGCGATCTGATATAACTTATTTTTAAAAGCATAGAACTTTCGATTCTGAGTAGTTTATACATGTACTTTTAATACATGCGTACTTGTAGGGTTCGTTCGGTGACACCTGGGCAGGTATTAAGTGAGAAAGGTAACTAAAAATCAGCGTTACTTTTCTTATTTAGAAATGTCTAATTTTTAAATATATTATGTAGAATGTTATTCGGAAGTAAAATTAAAAGCTTCCATGGGACGCTTTCCCATGGGCCAGAACTTTTGTCAGACGCATTAAAGTTCCGTAAAAAATAATTGACTTTACTTATTTTTAAATGTCTGATTTTTAAATATGTTATTAAGATAACTATTGCAAAGCTATATTTAATCAGACAGACAAATTGTAATGACCAAACATCCCCTTAACAATAAAATTATGCAATCATAATAAACAAACAGCATACAGTACTCACCCTCTTGGTTGCGGGCTCGCTGTCGTCGGCGCCGAGCTTGCGCGCGAGCGTGCGCACGAGCGTCGCCGGCGCCAGCGACACCTCCTGCCACGCGACGCGCGCGTACACACCGGACCAATTAGATACCACGTTCATCATACACACTACACTAACACCACCACCACCACTATAACATATACTCTAGGGTGAACTGTTGATAATCTGGATGCACACGGGACACGACACTGTCAAGTTTCTCCGATAGATTTGAGAATCAGCTGATAATTATGTCGGAATTGAATTATGGAAATCAGATACCTATATCGTGGCGACGAAATGTGCTGTTGTTTGTACTACAAACTTTTGCTTTGGGTCATGTTGGGCATATTAATAAAACGAAGGAAAAACACCAATTTCTTAAACATTTCAAAGTTAAATTAAAAGTTTACTGTCAAACTTTAATACCGATGTAATGAGAGAACCCGTTTTTATCTATGCATGTGATGACGCGACCGTGCGTTTGATTGCGGTAGATACTAGCGACACCTACACCACGCCACGTGACCACGCAACTTGGAATACACGCTCGTATTTATAACGATCTATTACAGACTAGCAACTACAATGACTTTTTAGTCTTTCTTTAATACAATGTAATATTAAAATAACTGAAAAATTCAATCTTTTGACTTTGACACTTTTATCTTTGATCTTTATTGACAACAAACGAAGTGCCTTTTCGATCATTAAAACTAACTCTAGAACTAGAACTCGATATGCAACCTCCTAAATAGCTATAAGTATAAACAATATTATTTTAATTATGTGTGCCCTGCAATTATTTTTTAATCTACATTAATCCTAAGTGATAAAAACACAAAACATATATATAATTATTATTTAAAATAGGTGATTGTTTATGAACAAAACTCTAGCTTCCACATTTCTTTAACGACACTAAAACTTAACTAAAACGTTTGTTCTAATTTTCTATCGATGTTCCTCATTTATCGCACCGGTAATATTTTAATTTATACGGTGCGATAACAGTAGTGCCTCTACAGACATGTTATAACAATAGTCCAAATATAATTGTTCTACGAATTAACATTGTGGTAAACATAAAGATCGATAGATAATTACTGTAATAAATAAAGTTGTTTCTGTGAAATGTTCCAATGCCGTTAGAATTCAAAAATAACTTATTAGTAAACAATTATATCTATTATTTAATTAGTAGTTTAATTTCAGTTTTCATAATTATCTTGAATAATTTATCTGACTGTATAATTCTATTAATTTTATTTTTTTCTAAAAGTATTTCTATACTTGGGGGAAAAAAGGTCGTTAGTGTCATTAAAGTGAAAACATAAAGTTCTATTAATTAATTTAAAATCTACTAAAATATAAATTATCTTTTTTGGCTTATATTTTTTATCCTTAAGGAACCGATTATTTTTTTATTACTTAAGTTTTATGCGACAATGTTGTTTTAACCAAAATTATACAATGTTTACGGGTTTTTTATTCCATGGTATTAAAAAAAACCTGGTTTGAGCGCGTGTAATTTTTAATATTTACAATTTTTATAGTTCTTGGATATTACACAAGGTACGTAGTTATTAGACGGAAGTGTGGTTGGTTTCAAAATCATGTAAAAAAACTTATTTGACTACTAATCTATATATTCATTTAAATAAATAGATTAGTAGTCAAATAAGTATTTTTACATGATGAGGCTCATCTGAGAAGTACTGTTAAGTTATTGCAGTTCATCATGTGTACACACAGCCTTAGCATGATATCGATAAATATAATTTGTTCACCCAAGACATTTGGTAGATTTTAAGGTTTAGGTTTTACCTATTCGATACAATCGTGTCCCATCACTCGTGATACCTTCCTACCTCCATGCCTTTTTATTATCTGAAGTCCTTGGGGGTAATCCGAGAATATCGTAAACTCACTTCCGCAATCGCAGCCGGGTCGAGCAGACGTAGCTCCCAATATATAAAAGCTGAGAAGTCAAGTATCACGGCGATCGACGCGTTTGTCTCGCGAACAAGTGATATAGAGTGTGGTGCACCACTAGGAAATAAGACGCGCGTCCAGAACATCGAGCACGCTGGGACGTAGTGAACCAGGTACGCCCCCATCCTTTTCCTTGTGATTCACCATATTTCCTGGTCCTTCAGCCATATATCCTTATCCTTTGCCCTGGTAGCCTTAAATTTTCCTAATAATAGATCATCCAGAATCATATCCAAGCATTTATTAGTTCTTTGTAATTTCTTTTCACTTTTTACTGTTTGGATACCCTCGTATTTTTTAAAATAAATTGGTGCATTTTTCGTGGAACATTAGTGCATTTCCGAGTTTAGCTATTGGCAACACTGCTTGCATAGACTACATTCATTTATAGACGACATTCATTCTGACAAGTGTCACATTATTTCATAACTTAACCTCGTTTCTTTTTGTTTACAATTTCTAATAAGATGAACTCCGATCTAAAGATTGCTCAAATAAAATTCAAAATTTCATATGATTTTATAAAAGAACTGTATGAATCAGCAACAGGACTTACACAAACAACTCCAAATGCTAAACAAATAGCTATGTTTCGTGTGCGTTACGCAGACTTAGAACATATTCGGAAACAATTCGATGAGAACTTTTCTATTTTGGTTACTCTGTTAGATGACAAACAAAGGGAAGACATAGAATCAAAGTTTTCAAAGTTTTACGAAAAATTTTATACCATAAAAACTATTTATGACGACTTAGGTATGTGTGATTCCAAAACCGATATTCCTGTAGTGAAGCAGACATTTGCTCAATCCCATAATGAATCGACTCGTTTTCATTTGCCAAAAATTAACTTAATTAGATTTAAAGGTGTTCACACAGAATGGCCTAATTTCAAATCAATTTTTGATAGTTTGATACATCAAAACAATGAGTTATCTTCCATTCAAAAGTTTCATTATCTGTTGAGTATTTTAGAACAGGAACCTCTAAATTTAATAAAACATTTAAGCATTACTAGTGACAACTATGAGGTTGCATGTACTATTTTACATGAACGTTATGAAAACAAGCGCTTGATAGCCGATAAACATTTGGAAATATTACTTTCAGTTTCATGTCCTAATTTAAAAAATCTGAAACGTTTTATTAACACATTGAAAGAGAATACACAAGCTTTAAATTCACTTGGGTTTAATGTAATATCTTGGGGTTTTCTATTATATCACATAACAATCAGAAAAATACCTTTAGACTTAAGAACTAAATTTGAATTTACCTTGCAGCAAAATCAAATTCCTGATTTTAATAACTTATTAACATTTTTAGAAAATCACTTGAGAGTTTTGGAAGTTACTAATTTTGCATATTCAAATAATAATGAAAAATCATTAGTTAATCGTTCATCTACTTTGCATGTATCTAGTATCACTTGTCATTGCTGTGGTGGTAACCATGGTGTATACCATTGTTCAGAGTTTGAAAAACTTGGAGATAAGAAATCATTTATTCAACAAAGAAAGCTTTGTTTCAACTGTTTAAGGCCTCATTTTGTATCAAAGTGTATATCTAAAAGCACTTGTCAAATATGTAATGGACGTCATCATACCAAATTACATAATGATTTTAGTAAATCAGCAGGTTCAAATGTGAATCTCGAATCTTCGAGACAGGTCTTGCTCAACGTGGAACCATCGTCTACTGGCTTATTGGGTACTGCTCTCGTTGGAGTTCAAGACATTGATGGTCATGTGCATATTGTTCGCGCGTTGATAGATCCTGGTGCTCAATCATCTCTTATGACTGAATCTTTAGCACAGCAGCTTCGACTTCGTCGTCGTAAGTCCTGCGATTTGTTTGGTGTTGGTCAACATCGACAGTCTACCCATGGCAGGGTAGATTGTAACATTGTGTCTCTCACAACAGATTCCATTCCTGGTTTATCCACTGAAGCCATCATACTTAAGCGTATCACTGGATATCAACCTGCAGCAATGGTCAATCCAATTGTGCCAGAGAAATGTAGCGACCTTCAGCTTGCTGACAAGACTTTCAACATTCCAGGTAGAATTGACCTACTTTTGGGTGTTAATCTTTTCAGTGACATTTTTTGTGGTCCGAAGTTAAATTTAGGTAATGGTTTACCAACAGCTCACTCAACTATTTTCGGTTGGGTCATTATGGGTTCAACCCCTGTGACCACAACACAATATCAAAATATAAGCTTACTCACTGATGAGTCTAGGCTTGAAAATACTTTAATTAAGTTTTGGGAATCTGAAGACGTTCCTTTGATGCCCGTTCCAGATCCTGTAGATATCGTTTGTGAAAAGCACTTTGTCAACACACATAGTAGAGACACTGATGGGAGGTTCATTGTCCGTCTACCCTTTAAGGTAGACTCTTCTCAGCTCGGTGATACACGTCTTGTTGCTCTGAAACGTTTTCACAATTTAGAACGACGGCTTATAAGGGAGCCTAGACTTCGTGAACTCTACATTCAGTTTATGAAGGACTATATAGAGTCTGGTCATATGAAGTTAGTGTCATCCGATGGCCACGTTGACAGGTATTACATTCCTCATCATGGCGTGCTCAAGGAGAGTAGCAGCACTACAAAACTGAGAGCAGTTTTCGACGCATCTCTACCTAGCTCTACAGGAGTTTCACTTAATCAAATTTTAATGTCGGGTCCTAAGTTACAAGAAAATATTCAAGATATTATTTTACGTTTTAGAACTTATTTAATTGTTTTCACTTGCGATATTAAGCAAATGTATCGTATGGTCAAAATACATCACGATGATCAGCGGTTTCAAACTATTTTCTGGCGTGACTCTATCGATAAGCCTTTGCAGGAGTTCGAGCTAACCATTGTTACATACGGCGTTTCTAGTTCTGCTTACCAAGCTATCAGAGTGATTCACGAGTTGGCGAACATCAACGACTCTACATATCCTGAGGCGGCACGTGTCCTGCGGGAGGATACTTTCGTAGATGACATCGTGAGTGGTAGCTCTACACTGGATGGCGCTAAAACACTTCAGCAGCAAATTACTGATGTGTTGGCTCAAGGTTGTTTCCATTTGAGGAAATGGTCTAGCAACTCTAGCGAACTACTTAAGGGCTTACCTGCTGATCATTGTGAGACGCCTTATCGATTCGAAGATTCAGGTGACGACATTTTCAAAATTTTAGGTATTGAATGGAGCCCATCTTCTGATAGCTTTCTTTATCGAGTGTCTAGTATGAGTGAAACATTAACCAAGCGGGGTATTCTTTCCAATATCGCTCGTTTATATGATCCTTGTGGTTTCATTGCTCCTGTAACGTTCTTTGCTAAATCTTTCTTACAAAATTTGTGGCTTTTGGAGATAGGTTGGGATGATATACTTCCTTTTGACGCTCAGCAGACTTGGTTTAAGTTTGTTGAAGATTTTCATTCATTAAATAAAATTCGTATCCCACGCTATGTAGCGCGTGATCAAATGTCTGAATGTCAACTTCACGGTTTTAGCGACGCGTCTGAACGCGGTTACGCCGCATGCGTATATCTTCGTTGTGGTAGCGATGACGATGTAGAGACGAACTTGTTGGTTGCCAAATCTAGAGTCGCTTCTGTCAAGCAAAGGAAGACAATTCCTAAACTCGAGCTCTGTGGAGCAGTTCTATTGGCTCGTCTTTTGGAACATGTTTGCAAGGTTTTGCAACATAAAATAAACATCACTTCAGTCACAGCATGGTGCGACTCTAGCATAGTGCTAACATGGTTGCGAACATCGCCTCACAAGCTTCAGACGTTCGAAGGGAATAGAGTTTCGCAGGTTCAAGGTATTCTTCCAAAGGCTACCTGGCGATACGTTCCATCCGTTTTCAATCCAGCCGACTGCGCGAGCCGAGGCTTGCTCCCTCGCGAGTTGTTAAATCATTCACTTTGGTGGAGTCCTTCTTGGCTCAAATCTAATCCCGATTCATGGCCTTCTTCATGTCAATTTCTCGATCTTGACGATTTGCCAGGTGTCAAATCAGCTGCAGTTGCTGCACATGTGGTGCAAACTGTCGAGACTACACATCACTCTGACTCTACATTGCTCTTTACCCCTCCAGTTTCTTCGCTTATCGTGCGGACTGTCGAGGAGGCATCTCATATAAAAGGCTCTACATCGACTGTTGCAATTTCATCTCACGAAGTTGTTCAACATGTCATTAAAAGATATAGCTCTCTATCTAAACTATTACGTATTTTAGGTTGGTGGCTACGCTATAGTTATAACTTACGTACACCAAAAGATAAACGATCAGGTTCTTTATCATTGTCGGAACTAAAATCAACATTGTTAATTTGCATCAAATCGGTTCAATCTTCCGCGTTTGCCGATACAATCAAATTGTTACAGCAACGTAGGCCTGTCAAGGGCAGTCTCTGCCGGCTTCATCCATTTCTCGACGAGTTTGGCTTCCTTCGTGTTGGAGGGAGGCTAGTCAATGCCGACTTACCTTACAACAGCAAGCATCCGATTTTGTTACCTCAGTCTCATCACTTAACGGATCTCCTTATCGATCATTACCATCAACTCTATGGCCACCCTGGTCCGTCCACTCTCATGGCGATCCTGTCTCACAGATACTGGATCATATCAGCTAGACGTACAGTTCGTCATAGGATTTTCAAATGTCAGCGTTGTTATAGGTTAAAGGCAAGGCCTGTTAACCCGTTCATGGGTAATTTACCTGCTAGCAGAGTTACTCAAGCAAGACCTTTCCAACGAGTTGGATTAGACTTCGCCGGCCCATTCATCGTTAAGGATTCTCACGCTCGAAAGCCGAAAACTTTTAAGGCATATTTGTGTGTTTTCATTTGTTTCACCACTAAGGCGATGCACTTAGAGGTAGTTTCTAATTTAACAACTGACGCCTTTTTGGCTTGCTTAGATCGATTCGTGTCGAGGAGAGGATTACCATCTGACATATTCTCTGATTGTGGTACCAATTTCTTAGGCGCCCGTAACTATTTAAAAGATATATACGCACTTAAAACGCAATTAGATAAAAACAGCGAAAAAATTCAATCTTATCTGGCACCTCGCGAAATTTATTGGCATTTAAACGTTCCCTCAGGACCACATCTTGGTGGTATTTGGGAAAATGCAGTGAAATCATCTAAGACATTACTTAAACGAATAATCGGTGAACGTGTACTAACGTTTGAAGAACTTAGTACCGTGTTTTGCAAAATTGAATCGATACTCAACTCACGACCGATTTGTCCGCTTAGTAGCGATCCAAATGATCTTGAGGCTCTTACGCCTGGACATTTTTTGATTGGGCAACCGCTTCTCGGTTTGCCAGAGCATAATCTGGAGCAAATTTCTGCTAATCGTCTTAATCGTTGGCAATTGTTGCAACAAATAACGCAACATTTTTGGAAACGCTGGCACACCGAATATTTACATACATTGCAACAGCGTGATCGTTGGCTTAAAACTGATCGTAATTTACAAATCGGGGATTTAGTTTTGGTAGCGGAATCTCATATACCGCCGTTACAATGGCGAAAGGCTCGTGTGACAAGACTCTACCCGGGTAATGATAGCATTGTTCGAGTCGTAGAGCTTAATACTTCTACTGGAGTCTTGTTGCGTCCTGTGGCTAAATTATGTCGCTTATTACCAGAACCTTAAATTAGCACGAAAGCAGCGATCTCTAGATTTAAGTTTCGTTTAATCATAGTTTTATTATTCTTTGTTCAACAATTACTTTACCAAAGTAGCATACATTTAGTGTACTCATCCTTGCTCTTTATTTGAAAGAGCTGAACCGCTCTTTGGGGGGCGGTATGGTAGATTTTAAGGTTTAGGTTTTACCTATTCGATACAATCGTGTCCCATCACTCGTGATACCTTCCTACCTCCATGCCTTTTTATTATCTGAAGTCCTTGGGGGTAATCCGAGAATATCGTAAACTCACTTCCGCAATCGCAGCCGGGTCGAGCAGACGTAGCTCCCAATATATAAAAGCTGAGAAGTCAAGTATCACGGCGATCGACGCGTTTGTCTCGCGAACAAGTGATATAGAGTGTGGTGCACCACTAGGAAATAAGACGCGCGTCCAGAACATCGAGCACGCTGGGACGTAGTGAACCAGGTACGCCCCCATCCTTTTCCTTGTGATTCACCAACATTACTGAAACCAGTCGTGAATCGTTAATGTGTGGAACAAAACACGCATGGAATATATGGCGCGCAATAATACATCTTATTTCAACATCATACGGGCGGGTATTGCTTGCGCAACACCTTTAAATCGACTACAGGTAGTTTATCATTTATATTATGTTATATGTATATACCGAAAAAGTTATAAAAAGATACCTTTCAAAATAGAACGTATTCATGAGAATTTCATTTAATAAAAAAATATTTATTATGAGGTATTTTTAATAAAAAAAACATAAAAAACGAGTCCTTTGGATTCGTTATTAAAAAAGTATCTCCTTGGTTAAAATCATATGTATATACTTTTATTTAATAATGTGTATTATTATTTTATGAACAGAAGCCAATTAGTTTATGTACAGTAAACAGTTCGTCAGGCTATACAAATATGTCAAATTACTTAATTTGATTTTAAGCCGTATTACATTGGCAGTAGAGTTTAAAATTATTTTGGTTAAATACTGGTCATAGCGCCAATATTTTTCAAAAATATAAGCGTTATCTCAACCATACCTAGTCTCTCTTACTATCTTTAAAATTCGTCTGTAAAGAAGGGAGCAAGCTAAGGCCGATGGAATACGTATGCCAACAACATCCTTGAATTATAAACTTGGCAACTCGCGATTGCCGTGACGTCACGGATCACGATGACGCGCAAACACCAACTAATAGCATACGCGGACTGTAAACATATGATTAAATTTTTTGTCTAATTTTAAATATGAAACTTCTACCCAGTGTATCGGTGCTATTTTTTTGCTTGTCCGTCAGGTAGATTTTTGAAAAATATTAATCACTTATTTTTTATTTTTTGCGTAATCAATAAATTACGGCGATACATTAGAGTTAAAATGTCGCGTGACGTCACGCTTTAGTATATTTTCTACAAATCTGCGATGAAGTGAGCCCCCACTCCTCAACTTTAATGCCTGTTATCTGCATCAGGCATCATCTCTATTTATAAAACATGGTCCTATTGTACCTATGAATAAGTGACAACATTAGTATAACATATAGAAGAGTTCATTAATTAACCTGTTGTTGTTGCCTGAGCAGATTGAGCTGTTGCTCCAGCTCCAGGTTCCTGGCGACGAGGCGGCGCACCTCCTCCGTCCCGGACGACGACGCCTCCACTGTCTCTGTCGGAGATAGCTTAAGTTTACGACCAAAGTCCAAGGATATAACATAACACTGCGATGCGACGTCCTATTGTAGAAATGTAGGAGCCCGCAAGACGCAACGCGCATCGATATTCAAATATTATAGTATAGGTGCGTGGAAACCATTTTTTGATTAAACGGGTGATTTTGCAAACTAATAAAGCTTAAAACGAATCACGTAAAACTGAATAATTTAGTTTTTGTAGATATTATTAAAAATAGAGGTTTTTTATGTACCTGCTCCCCAACGCAAACAGAAAGTGGGTAGCATAATGAAACGCACAAACAAACAACACAGAGCTGAACTCTCTAATGATATAAACTAGTAACAGGAAAATATGATGTTTATAATAAATTATTTTTATCGTGACATTATTATTTTAAGTATTAATTAACATAATAGCTTTCACGAGAGAATCAGATTTCATTAACATAAATTGCATTGCATTAGATGTAGAGAAAGGATATTAGACGAGCCTGGTGACGCAGCGGTTAGCTCGTTCGGTTTGCGATGCGGAAATTAAGCAAGTTCGGGAATGCCCTAGCATTAGGGACATTTATGTACTGGTGCTGACGACGTAAAATCTTTTGAATGTGTTACTTGTGACAACTGGTATTCATTTGGTGTCAGTTGCACTAAAATATTTTAGGAATACCATTAACAAGTAGCTGCAAGCTCTGTATCTCAGACTTCTGGTTCTGACTGAGGGTCTGCAGCTGCTGCAGCTCGGCTCGTAGCCCCAACACTTCCGACTCAAGCTGCTCCTTATCTTGCAGCATCCGCCTCATGTCTTCTGCAATCATATTATCAATTTTGAACACACTTTGCTTCACAAATGAGGTATACATTTTGTCGAGTAGTCAAGACTTGCCGACTACTGTCCTATTTTACCTTTTTGGACAGTTTGTAGAGATACAATGAAGAAACGCTTACAATCTCTATAGTATATAGTAAATACAGATCAAGCATACAAAAAATTAATGTTGTTTCAATAACTGTAAAGGTTTTTTTTACTTGTTCATTTAACATTTTATATTTGACCTTCATTGAAATTAATGTATTACACACTATATCATCAAATGAATTAATTATTGTATTATATAATTAAGACCGATTATCAGTCAAATATTTATTTTTATTTTATTTGTATGACATAGTGCGACCAGCTCGAGGGGGTTTTCTTGTATTTTTGTTTTACAGTCTAATCTCCCAACAACTCATAATACTCTATTACGATTATATATATGTTAAGATATGACAACTCTATTATTCTTAAATAATAATTGAAATCCTTATTGTAATATAAAATTTTCCATTTTAGTCAAAACAAAACTCATAATATATTGACATGTTAAAAATATATTTGAACAAATATACAGATATTTTAAAAATATTTTTTGTAGAACTTACATAAATTGAATTTGACATAGAACAAATAGCTCTACACTATTACTATTTTATTGTAGATATTTCTTATTTCACACACTATTCATTAATAAGCAAAGTTTAACTTGAAGTTTTACATTATTAGGTATTTTAATTAAAATGCTTCAAAACTGTCATTAAAAACTATATGTCGAAAATAAACATTTTGTAGTAACCAGTTTTGCAGCTGTTTGTAAATTATACACTCAAACCTGTACAAAAGTTGTGTCACTAGATGTTATGAAGCTAAGCAAATTATTATTAGACAATAAGATTTTTTCTTATAAGACTTACCAAAGTGCAATTCATAAATGAAATTTATAACTTATTCAAATTAGTGATTCTTACCAAGTCAAATAAATGGAGGTACTTTATTTATATTTTGAGACATATCACAATAGAACATAAATTATAACTATCTTTAAAACTAAATTTGGAACAGTTCTATAGCCATAATGGATAGCTCTTTCACCCAATACAGATATTAATGTAGCAATGTTAGTTAATAATCAAGTTACCCATAAGCGACAAAATCACTTATTAAATGCTGACAATCACTAAAGAACAAACACAATGGAACACATGTTTTCTAGATAAATCACCTAGCTGGTCCAAAATAAAACATTGTAAATATCACTTAAATATTTTACTTTATACTCTCAATACCTTGTTAATGTAATAATCATTAACTTAAATTTACTTATGTTATGTAGTTTGACATGAAATATCTAATCAAACTCAGTTATGGATGTGTTATTAATAAAATAATATATATGTTTATTTTGGAACAGCTGATTATATTAGTTATCTATCTAAACATTATACATCCATAATTAATTTTTTGCATCTGTAAAATATCACGATGTCAAATTTCATGTGTTAGTTGATTAAATGAATGGATAATGTACAAATCTTCTATATACTTTCTACCTCTCTCGAGCCATGTTACTAATGAGACAAAAATTGTTGTTCATGCAAAGAGACGAAATACTATCAAATAACGTCTACGTCATGCTCCCGAGACCTGCACCGTCTGCAAGTGATGAGACGAACCTTCTTTTTGCAAAAAGAGCTCTTTCATTTTCGCTCGCTGAACATTAAATTCTTCCTCTAGTTCCCGCCTCATTTGATCCGGAGATGAGCTGGCACGATCATCCACACCGTCCACTTGAAACAGAAATACTATAACATCTTCCTGAATATATTTTCACAACTATGTGTAAAAACGGGAAACAGATAACACACCTTTCGTATCAGCAGACGGTTCGGTAGACATCTTCAGTTCAATAGCTACAACGCTATAATACTAAATACAACTAATGTATAGTCTTTCTAGTATTCGAATCATCCCTAATATCTAATTAATTTAAATGCAATCTCATGTGAAAAAGAAATTTGTTGAATCGTGTACAATCAGAAAAATCTAAATTGACAAGATAATGACAGACAGTGTCATACTATGTATTTTAAATCGTTTTTTTATAGAAAAGGCAAAGACCAATGCCCATACAGCCTTTTGTGGGGTATTTTTGTATAGTGGCTTTTCGGAAAGGTAAAGAGTACCTTTGGTCGGTTAACAGCCAGAGTACGTTGAAAGCTTCAAAGTCTAGTATATAAGTTTAGTCGCCCTATACAGGGAGGAACAAAATGACCGACACAGCCGAAAGTTTCAAGTTAGGTTACATGCAAACGTTCATTTCATTTGACACATATTTAAAAATAGAGGAGGTGTAAAAATGGAGTAAAATTTTAAATTTCTAAGTGTTGACAACCCTTTAACGCGCATGCGCCATATCGATTGTGCGCAGATTACAACGGACCGCGAAATACATTAATTTAATTTAATTATTTACCGATATCTTAATGATAGTCGATGCTGAAAATGTTCAATTCTTCTCTGAAGACAGCTAAGCACGCTCTTTTGCATGCCAGTGTATGCATGCGCAAAACACATCACGTTTCATACAATCTTCACTAAACTAAACATAACACTCAAGACAAACACTCTAGTATCTTATTAACAACAATTCAATTAAAAATGCACTAGAACAAAACAAAAATCGACAAAAAAGACGCTTCGCAGCGGTGCGTCGGCGGCGATGCGCAACAACACTCCAGCGCAAAAGGTCGGCGGCGACTGATTGTCCGGACAATACCCAGCGTTGCCAACTCTACATGTCAAAAAGTCGTTAGCGTGCGTTTGAGAAGTCGCTAGATGTCGCTAGCTATGGACAAAGATTAAAAGTCGCTAGAAGTAGCTAAAAGACTGAGCGCGTGCGGATAAAACAGCGCAATACAGTTAGTCACGTACTTCTAATTCTGTATCCTTTTACGCACGGCAGAAGAGGGCACAGTTTTTTGGTCCTTTGGTATAAAAGAAAATAATTTGTTTTACTTATAATAATATTTGTAATCGGTATAAAAACAATTGAAAATTACGAAAAAACAATTACTTGACAAATAAAAAATCAACAACTCAATACTATAATGAAATATAACATTTATTCATTATCAGAACTATCGATAATAATCAGATAATCTGGAATACTTAATGTATCCGTTCTGGAATTGGAACTAATACCCGAAGTTGATGGCTGAAGCTGCGATGTACGTTTGGCAAACGAATTCCCCGTTGTGCGTCCACGAGTACAGCATTGGGGTATCTCGGCTTAAGTATAAGAATTTACGGCAGCGTTCCGAAATTGTTTAAATATTACTTACTCTGATATGAGTCTGTAATATTTAAAATACTGATTTATATAAACTCTAGAAGTCGTTAAAATAGTCGCTAGCTTTTTTTTGTCGCTAGACACATAATTTAAGCCGCTGTTTAAAACGAAATGTCGCTAGATCTAGCGACAAAGTCGCTAAATTGGCAACACTGACAATACCAACCACATACCAACAGAATAATGAAACCGCCTGGCGGCTGGCGGGTGGGCGGGGCTTTGATATTGAGGGACGAACTAGGTTCATATTTTTTTATTCGTCTTTTGATATCACTCATTTTTTAAAGTTCTTTTTAAATGCTATTTTAATAACAAATTCCTCAATGTTTTTAAAACAAAGTTCATTTGTGTTAATGATGAATCGCTGGAAGATTTGTGAGTTTATCGAGTTTAGTTAACGATCCCGTTGTTAAAGGAGTATTACCCCATTCAAACAATTTTTATGGAGAACTGCTCTTTTAAAATAACGTAGATTAATGTTAGAGTGATCTCTCTACAATAATTTAGGAAATTTTACACTCGGTTTCTTAATTGAGTATGTAAAGTTAAACGTCTCAAACTAAGATCATTTAGTTTTCGTTTCCGATTTTAGTTTTTTGATGATCAGTTGATAGCAGTTTGATAAAACTAAGACTATTTGACTTGTGAAATTAAAAAAACTTAGGTTATTGAGAGAAAGCAGTAGAACTTTTCTTCTTTTTTCAAATCATAAACCGGCTGTTAGACTTAAAGGTAGAACTTAATAAAAAGCTTTTACAAACAACCAAAACTTAAAAATTCCATTTATTGACAACATCAAGAAGAACAGAGTAAAAAAAAACAATTTAAACACCAAGTTGTCATTAATAAAACTATAAATTAAACAAGAAGGTTTTCAACGTAAAGGAGTTTACTCCATTATCTTCTCTCGTTGGAAACCTTTTGCAAACCAATAAGTTTATTCAGCTTATCAAATCTTGGTCGAGGTAAAGATTTTGTCAGTATGTCGGCTAATTGCGATTCTGCTGACACTTTGTCGACCACCAAGTCTCCTTCTAGAACCAGTTCTCTGACAAAGAAATGTCTTAGACGGATATGTTTGGTTCGGCGATGAAATTCCGGATTCTCGGCTAATCTCAAAGCAGCTTCGTTGTCAACTTGTAGTACTGGTACATGCTGCAGTTCGACTAAACCGCTAAACAATCTGGTTAGCCAGACACACTCTCTCGCAGCTTCACTGGCTGCCACAATCTCAGCCTCCGTTGTTGAGATGGCAACACTGGTTTGTCTTCGACTTAACCATGAGACTGGTCCACCAGCATATAGACATAACACTCCTGTCGTTGATCTTCCAGTACTTATATCGCCGCCATGGTCTGCATCACTGTAACACTCTATAATGCCTTTTTTATAATCCCTTTTATAAAATATACCCATGTCGACAGTGTATTGCAAGTATCGCAGAATTCTCTTTAACTTCACGACATCAACTTGAGTTGGTTTCTCCAAATTTCTGGAAATTACACTCACTGCATAGGCAATGTCTGGTCTACTTCCGACCATTAGATAAGCTAGATTTCCAACTATTTGTCTATAACACTCAAGAAAATAATCATCCTTCTTTTCAATTATTTGTGGAACACTATCTTTTATTATTGGAGTTGATACAGGCTTTGAATCCTGCATA